CTTTTGTATGAGATTTCCGAACAGAAGACGGATGGCCCTCTGCCGGGGGCGCTTTAGTGCAAGGTGCTCATCAAAACAAGGCTTGTGCTTGGCTGGCCTCTTAAAGTGGATTTAAATCGCTCAGGGTTTGAGGTTTCCTGAATCGTGGAAGGACTTCCGTTTGGAAGGGGTGGGCCCGTCTTTCGTATGAGATTTCCGAACAGAAGACGGACGGCCCTCTGCCAGGGGCACTTTAGTGGTGGCTTCCCTCATTGTCTGCGGGTTGGGATAGATGACCTCGGGGTCCCCTCACCAGTTGGTGCCGCTGTGGATGGCCTTTACAGGACCAAAAAGGAACCAAACATCTCAGTTCCTATATTTCTCTCTCTCTTTTTAAATTGTTGATGCCTTAGCTACGTTTTTTTCCTCTTCTACTTCTAATGAGATCAAGGCCTTGTGCTACCGACTTTTTTTTATCCTTTTAATAACCTTGCAGAGCTGATCCAGCCACCCTCCGCCGTCCCCGTAGAGCCTTCTGAGTCATCACCATCTGTGGAATGCTTGTGTCTGTGTTTGTGTGTTGTCTTGTTTGGCTTTTTCCCCACCACATTTACGCGAATTCCCTCAATGGCTTCCCGCATCGCCTCCTCCCTCCAAGAGCTGGGAGCCCGCCACCGTCGTTTCCTCAAGAAACAGATGTCTTGAAGGCCCCAGGATCAGAACCCAGGACTGGGGCCTGTCGGGTGCCTTTGACCGACGGCTATTTCTGGTGAAGGGGGAGGGTTTGACAGCGTTCCGTAGCATGACATTTTAGCATGATTACTTAGCGTGTTTTCAGCTGTATGTCTGTATGTTTGTCACCGTGTTAAAAACTGCATTCCGTCCCCATTACTGAAAAAAAGATGCAATGGATGGATGAATCCGTGAATGGAGAGAGAGAGAGAGATGGGAAGATGGATAGAAAATATGGTCTGATTGATTAATTGATTTGTGTATTGCATTGAGAAAGATGGAAAGGAAGGAAGGAGAAAAAGACTGACAAGCTAAGTGATAAATTGATCGGTGTGTCTCACTTATTTTTATGATGCCGGTCTAGCTGTTGTCAACCTGGAGAAGCTGTTCTTTCCAAAAGAGAAGAGAGAGACTTAAAGGGCTGGCCAAGGTTCTGTACGGATGTTCACAGCATCTGGAACTCCCTGCCACCAGAAACCCTCCCTTGGAAGGAGGGGTAAAGAGGTCAGGGCGGGTTTGTGGAAGAGAATAAGGTGGAACGTTGTGGGAAGAGGAGGTGAAATGTGACTGTTGCATCCTAGTTTTGGTTGGAGGTCCCATCATCTTTGCATGTATATCATGTATTTGCTTCCTCAGCTCAGACAGAGTCTGGGATCTTCTTGTTTGTAAATGGACCATGGCCGAGGTTGCAAATAAAACCAAAAAAAAATCACATTTTTGTACAGCATATTCTGTGTGCTAGATTGCACTCCCTACTTATGTTATAGTCTTAACACGAGGATGCTTCAATCCACCTATTGCACGCTCCCATATTTTCACTCTGTGATTGGTCCGTGGAAATTCAACACCAACCTCATTCACATGGCTGATTCCTCAGGCATGGAGCTTTGAAGGATTTACGTGCCCGGTGGGAAAACGTTAGGAAAAGACATGTTTTTTTCTTAATGTAGGATTTAACTCAGTGATGAACAAACTATTCTGGCCTGTGGCTTTGGAGATCGCTGTTCTTATATGCCATCAAGTCACCCTCAACATATGCTGACCCCCATAGATGAGCGATCGGCCTGCTCAGCTCTTGCAAAGTCAAGCCTGTGGCTTCCTTGAGGGAGTCCGTGCATCTTGTATTTTTCAGTGGCACCCTGGGGCTGTGCCGCATGCCCAAATCCACACCGGCGGGCTCTTCTCCCTGAAACCACAGAGGCTCCACCACTAGAGAAACCTAAACCGCCGAGCTGTCCGGCCCCTGCTATTTGATACCATCACAAATCCTTTTCCGAAAAGGAATGAAACTGGCTTGGCCAACCAGGTCAAGAATTTTTCCCCCTTGTGAAGACCCCCTTGGGGTTCAGATGCACCAATCCAGGCTCCGTCCCGCTTGTGTCTGGGTCGCCGCTGTTGACTTGGCCGGTTGGGGGTGTGGGGAAGCTATCCTATCTTCCGTGATCTCTGTACAGCCTTCGTTCTCCTTCCAAGGTGACTTTGCAGTCCAGAGAATGTTCCTAAGACGTATGATGCTTAATTCTTATTTTTTTTAATGCGAAGGAGAAGGGAGTCTTTTCCGAGGGGGGGGGGAACAATCAATACCCTGATTTCCAAATTTGGGAACGTCAACAAGGTGACGGGAGATGAAACACCACCCCCTGGAAGGTCAGGCCGCCACTGACGGCACGATCCACGTGAGACGGCTGTTCATTTAAATATGGCACGATAATGATCTCTGGACGATTGACATGCAAATGAGAGCTGCCTAGATTTCTCTTTCTGCCTCCAATATAATTTGCCCCTTTTTTTTCCGCTCCCTCCGTTGAGTTTGAGAAGGACGGGGTTTTGGAAGCGGACTGGAACCGGTCCGGGTTTTTTTTTTTCCTTCCTGTTTTTGCCAAGGGGAGGTTTCGCATCTTCTCTTGGGGCTGAGCCCCATCTCCTCCTTCAGTGGCTGCACGCTTCCAAAGCGCCCGCAGAAGCAGAAGAAGTTGGCTTCTTCTCACGACCATGCCGGCTCGTGAGAAGAAGCCAACATCTCAAAAGTTATATAGAGAAAGGTGGAAGGCAAGCAGGAAAAGAGGGGGCCCGAGTGCGAGAGGGACTGAACAGAACTCCCAGAACAGAAGCCACAACTTTTGGGCTTTCGAGAGCAGAGCAGAGCTGTTGAGGACGGGAAATTTCGGAGAGCGTTCCTAGGGTCGCCGTAAGTTGGAGGTGATTGAACAGCACGTAACAACGTGATCAGTCTTTAAAAGTCAGCATTTGTAGACCATAAGCCATGTTAGGGATTTTCAGAACTACTTCCTAAAAGTAGCATCAGAAAACCTTGTCCAGCCCTCCGAGCAGGTGTTTTTTGGGGGGACTGAATCCTGGTGTGGGGTTGGCAGCACCCATCCTGCTGATTCCGGATTCGTGACTTGTGTCAAAGTCTTGGTTGAATGATGAAATGAAAGAAAAACCCGTGCCGTGTTTGAAATAGCCCGTGGGAGGAAGGTTTTGAGGGCACCCCCCCCCAGGGCATGAGTGCAATGTGTTGGCGACAGGGACCCCACTCTGGGTTTGAGTACAAACTTTGCACCAGCTTACACATGGGGCTAAACCATGTTCCCCCTTCCAAGTCTATTCGGCAACTTAAGGCAGCTCCTTTAAAGTTCAGGCTAAAAACCACAGCAGATTCCCTGTCTCTCTCCTCCCTCAACCACGGTGCAGTTATCAACCTCTGCTACACACACATACACTAAAATATCTGTATGACGAATCTCTGGAGGACGTCTCAACTCGCTCGCACACTTTCCCGGGGTTGGCGCAGAAATAGGCTTCCCATTATCACCTGTGGCGTTGAAGGCGAGAATTAGGATCACAAACACCTCACCTTTTTTTGGCGAGAGCGAGGGGGGGTGGACACACAGAGGAGGTGTTGCTCATTTTTGGTGTCTCGGGAACCGTGTGTGAATTTTTGTAATTCGATTTATTCGGGAACGGAGCTACCCTTTCTTCCCTTCCAGATGCCCCCCTTCTTCCCTCCCTTTCACCCCAACCTTTTAATTCTCACAACTTTAGATAGAGAGGTAGTGGCCGACCTCAGGTGACCTGCCTCCCCTGCCCCCCAGAACCTGGGTCTACCACGACAGGAAGGTCTCAAATGAGGACCACCTTGTTATTCAGAGTGAAAGGTTGTGTTTTTCGCCTTTAGTTTGCGGGCCAGCTTGATTTGTTTTGGAGTTGGTCATTTGCAAGTACAATTGTCCTGTCGTGGAGATCTTCCTGAATTGCGTCTCTATGATGCTCAGAGTTATTATTTTTTTTCAGCCACTAGCGCTAAGCTCTGTCTTTGGGCCCAAAGCAAAGATTTATTCAGATCAGCTTTTTTGGAGGGGAGGGAATGCAACCTCCTTGCATTCTTGAGTTTGGAACACCTAGGGAATATTAAGCATGCCATGGCTGTCGAACATCCGAAACACAATTCTGTGTCGGCTACACAGCCCAGTAATGAAATACCATTACAGACGATGTTCTCGAACCGGACGCCATGCGCGTCTCGTGCCGATGAATCCCTTAAGTGGATTACGCAGCGCTTGATGGAATGTTTCCCTTTCTGTTTGTCCTCAATGGGCGGATTTTATTAAATGCTTCTCCATCCTGCTTGTTCTGAATTACGAGGGTTTTTTCCCCCTCCATACACAATTCGTGGTTCTCTCAATATGGTTTCCCAACCAAGTTGGTGGAGGAACCAATTCTCGCGAACTCCGGTACAAACGAACTCCAACAGCAAACTGAAAAAGATAGATTGATCTCTCTTTTCCCCCCCAACCTATATTGTGTCTTTATGTGGGTTCCCACCCTTGATGGCAGACGAGATCAAATCCAAAAAAGAACAGGGAGCCCTGTTTGCATTCGGTTCTCAGCTCCAAAAATACACTGAGAGATATTAAAGGTACGATTCGGTACCCGAAGGGGTTTGGGAAACTTCGGTGTGTCTTGGAAAACGATGCCGATGGTCTCCAGAGCCAGAGAGGTGTCTGATAGGGGTGCTTCCCCAGGAGATCCCAGTACAGACAGAAAGTTGGCTTCGATGTTTTTGAACGACAATTCCCATAAACCCTAGCCAGCACAGCTAGTGGTGAAGGCTGCTGGGAGTTGTAGTCCAAAAACATCTGGGGAATTTTGGGAACCAAAATCTTAACGGGCACCCTTTTAATGCTACAGTTCGGTGGCTCGGTGTTTTATCTTAGGAGGAAAGTACTCAACCCAGTTCTGCGTGGTGGCGCGCCCAAATGATGACCATCTCTTGAACTTCTTTCCAGGTGTGAACGGCCCTACGCGTGAACATCATGATCCCCCTCTCTCTGCTGATCATCCTTATCCTCATCTGGGAGGCACGGATCGAGGCCCTGTTCCCCGAAGAACCTGGCCCCATCAGTGTGGCCCTGGATGACTGTAAGTAATGTTCTGGATGGGTCCGGTTACATGGAAATGGGGTGGATTTGTCGAGGGATGGAAGACTTTGCTATTTTTGGAGAGATTGAACCAAGAAGCGAAACGAGGAAGCAATGCCGAGACCGGCGTGCTGATTTCTTTAGATGTTTTCCAGCCTCTTTCTCTTTCAAAAGTATGAGTGTTGTTTAAATGACTTCGGTGGGATTTGGTCTGCTTTTATGACATAGCTTCAAAAACAGCCGAATAATTCGGTAAACCCATCAAACCAACACGGTTCGACCTGGAATAACAGGAGAGCTTAAGTTCATTTTATACACATGCATACATAAAATGAATCCATTGACCGCGGCAAGGTTAAGGCTCTCTACTACATCATAGAATAGGCAGCTAATCAATAATCTCAAGAGTCGTTGAACAAAGTATGTGTTTAACTACCCAAACAAACTGAAGTGGGGAACTCTTTGAGTTTGTTTGCATTCCGCTTTGAAAGTTTTATCGTTGGCCAGGTTTTGGAAACAGCACTGCTTCGTTATAGCATACACTGGAACCATACCTTGTATGTGAATGACTAAATAAATCAGTAAATGAATTAAATAAATTTATTTAATAAATAAACTAATGGTTAAATTGAATATTCATTCATTCGTTCATTCGTTCACTTGTTTGTTTGTTTCCTTTTTTACCACACTAATGGTTAAATTGAATATTCGTTCATTTGTTCGTTCGTTCACTTGTTTGTTTCCTTTTTTACCAGACCCAGTTAGTAGCTGAGCTACTACTCTGAGCAGCTAATAGAACAAGGCCAAAGTAAGATAATCAGAACAGAAAAAAGCAAGAATAAACATTCAGGGAACGCATCGCAATAGGAATGATATTTAAAGGTGCAGCAGCCTTTAAAAGAATAACATTACTACAACAACAACAACAACAACAACAACAACAACAACAACAATAATAATAGGTAGCATACACAAGTTCAAAACAGAACTCGTCAAAAACAAAATTAATCAAAATTAACTAACATTAATCTTCAGCTGGGGAAGGCTGGAACAACAACAACAACAACAATAATAATAGGTAGCCAGTAGAGATATATACACAAGTTCAAAACAGAACTTGTCAAAAACAAAATTAATTGAAATTAATTAACATTAATCTTCATCTGGGGGAAGGCTGTGGAAGGGCTTGCAAAAACAGCCAGGCCTTAAGTAAACTAATTAAATTAAATTAAGTAATTCATAAATAAATTAATAAATAGAATCAACAAATAATTGAAGTGTTTTCAATGTTTAATTTTTTTTTCAGAAAAAGAGGGGAGAGTCTCATGTCTCCTAAACAATTTGCAGATACAATTCCAAACAGTTTATTCATTTATTTAAAATATGTTTATACCGTCTTTCTCCTTAAAAAGGTCCCAAGGCAGCTTACATCATTAAAAAGACAGCATTTAAAAGCTAAAAAGTGAGTATACAAATGTTTTAAAAGAATGAAATAAATACCACCCTAAAACATGGTCAACAAAGTCAAGCCCAGAAATACATCCAAAGCAGTGAGACACAACCATCTGTTTTAAAAAAAGCAGTCACACAGGGAAAGCTTGCCTGAAGAGAAAGGTCTTCTTGGCCTGGTTGTGGAAAAAGACAGCAAAGACGGGGCTAGGCTGGCTTCCAGTGGCAGGGAGTTCCAGAGTCTAAAGGAGCAGCCACCGAGAGGGCCCTGTCTTGTGTCTCCCCGCCGAACGCACAGGTGAAGATGGTGGGACCGAGAGAAAAGCCTCCCTGATGATCTCAAAGCCCAAGTTTTGCCTTTTTTTTCAATTTTAGGATATCTGGAAGGTTGTGCTGAGAGAAAAGCCTCCCCTGATGATCTCAAAGCCCAAGTTTTGCGTTTTTTTTTTTCAATTTTAGGATACCTGGAAGTTTGTGGGGGCCCCCCAAAAAAATATTTAGCCAATTGTTTGTCCTTCCATTCCTTCACCTTCAACCAGGTTGGCGAATTTGGGGGTTCGATTCCGACCCATCTCTCGGGACACGTCCAATTCTTGCGAAGGGGCGATGTCTTTCCACTATATCTCCTCTTTGTGCTTTCCCGGCGGCTTTTTCTCTCTTGTTTCAAGAACCTTCGATGCCATCGGTATTCAAGAATGCCGTTGGAGGAACCATTCATGTCCTAGGTTTAGAGCGGGATGAGCTTTGTTGACTTCAAGAGGGTGAATTCAGAATTCCTTTCAGAGGTCCGAAGGGGGGAAAAACCTCCTGGCCGTGAGGTTCCCACCTTGATCTCCTTGGTGTTTTTTTTTTCTTTCCCAACCTCCATCACTTCCTGAGGGACTCGAGCAATACAATTATATCTCCCAGTTTCGATGGCTGTGGGGTCAACCCGGTGAGGGGGCTGCACGGAGCTCAACCTCGCGTCTTCCCGGTCAAAGTTTGGCCTGTTGCGTGTGACGCTTTGCCAAATCCTGTTGAACTCAAGGCATGTCAGGCTGAAATTACACCAGAGATTCGAGTCGTTTTTTTCCAATGGCTCGGAAGTCAACCCGCGACTCAGGACCCACACAACCCTCCTTTTTTTCTCTGGGGAGGGGAAGCTATTTTTTAATAGAGATTTGGCCACCACGCCTAAACACCCGATGAACTCGGAGCAAAAAAGGTCATCTCTCAAGCATCTTTTCTTGTTTTCCCCACAGATGTGAAGCAATATTCTGTGTTCGTGGGCAACAGGGTGGGCCGATTCTCCAGCCAAGATGGGGGAGCCGAGCGCCTGAATATTCAACGGATGCTGATTGTCAACCGGACTTTGTACATAGGGGAACGGTAAGGAGATACAGCCGTACGCTTGCCTCCTGCCCCTCCCCCCCCCACCCGGCTGGACCTGAGTTTCTTGACCCTCTACCTCAAGTACTTATTTATTTATTTTTTTTAAAAAGAAAGAGGATGAAATTGTTGGGGCTTCCGCAAAATTCGTGTTTTAATGGGAGCGCATCAACAGAATCATGGAAATGTTTCTGAGACGGGGAGGGGGGGAGAGAGAAGGATGAAGGGATGCCCCATACAAAGGGGACACAGTTATCCCTCGGATCCTGCGGCTGCAGCTTGCAGCCTGCGGCGTCGCCATGGAAACCTGCGGATCCACGAGGACAGCCAAAAACTGGTGGTGATGGTAGAAAAGAAGAGGAAGACAAGGAAATCAAGAGGAAATAGCAGGGGTGGGTCGAGTTGAAGCGAAGGGAAAGCTGGTTAATTTTAAGCGGAGGGAGGGAGGAAGGATCTGTCTGATGATGGAAAGAAGAAAGATGATGGATGGAAGGAAGGAAGGAAGGATCTATCTGATGATGGAAAGAAGAAAGGAGCTGCTGATGATGGATCTAATGATGGAAAGAAGAACAGGAAGGATCTAATGATGGAAAGAAGAACAGAGCTGAGGAAGGAAGTAAGGAAGGAAGGAAGGAAGGAAGGAAGGAAGGAACTATCTGATTATGGAAAGAAGAAAGGAGCTGATGATGGTGGATGGATGGATGGATGGATGGATGGATGGATGGATGGATGGATGGATGGATGGATGGATGGATCTGATTATGGAAAGAAGAAAGGAGCTGATGATGATGGAAGGGAGGGAGGGATGGAGGGAGGGAGGGAAGATCTATGATGATGGAAAGAAGAAAGGAGCTGATGATGATGGAAGGCAGGGAGGGAGGGAGGGAGGGAAGATCTATGATGATGGAAAGAAGAAAGGAGCTGATGATGAAGGGAGGGAAGGAAAGAAGGAAGATGGGAGGAAAAAGCTAAGGAAAGGAGGGCTGAGCTGATGATGAATAGCAAGAAAGGGAGGGAGGGAGGAGCTTATGATAAAAAGAAGGAAGGAAGGAGGTGAAGATGGAAAGGAGGGAGGGAGGATATGTGTCACATCACTAAAAACAAGGAGATTTTCTCCTGGCCTGACTCCTTCCCTCCCTGTAACCATTTCTTCGGCATCCCCCTCCAGCCCCTCCCTGGGGCAGCTTTCGTGATGCCCCCTGTTTAAAGCCAGGAGCACATCTCGGTTGCACAGCAGATTGCTTGGAAGCTGCCTTCTGGAGGACAGGGTCTCTAAACTCTGGGGCGGTGGGGTGTGCTTGACCACAGAGGCCCCCTGCCCCCCCATGTGGTCCACAACAACTTTACAAAGCAGACCCTAGCATCGTGCAGCATCCCCTGTGGAATGAACAGGCTAGTGAGGCTTCCCTCCTTCCAAACGTGGCCCCGGGGCTGGTCACCCGAAGACTGGCTCATGGAACCAGTTATGGAACATCCTTTCAGCTGCTCCAGACTGATTTTCCATAACGGAGCCCAAATTCCTTTTTAGAGTTGGAATTTCTTGGGATTTCCCCCCTCTGGTCAGGGAGGAATCTTTTTTTTCCTCTTCACCCACCGGTTTTCCTCTCCCGGCCTCCCACCCTGAGTCTCGTGCGCTGTAAATCCCGTTCTGGGTGTATAATTTTTATCTGTTTATGTTTTTTTAATGGGACTTTTAAACTCTGGGCCGTGTGCATGGGAGGTGGGGTAATGAAGCATGGAGGAACATTTGTAAACAGAGCGCTCGGTTTCACTGGGCTGCGGAGAGCTCCGACGTCTTCCATTTCTCAGCGTCGCCCAAGACACCTTGTGCAAGAAGTCGGGAAAAACCTGTCCTCGTGCATAGTTATTTGGTGGCTGCAGGAGAATTAGGGGTATTGGGTCCCTTGTCAAGCTGAAAAGAGTCAAGGCTGCTACTAGCACAGACTTTGGGAAATGACAGGACTCGGATCACCAACCACCCCCACCACGGCTGAAGATCTTGCCCTGAGTGTGAACATCTTCCAGTCAAGTTCCATTTCAGCCTCCTAGGGCCTACACTGCTTGAGCCCTCAAACGTCCGCAAACCATCAAGCTGTCTCCTGTTGGAAACGGAGTGCTACGAAGGGTGTGCTTGTAGGGCTTTTTTAAAGTTCTCATGAAGTGCAAAGCAGCAGGAGACAGATGATGGCTTGTGGCATACTTTAGGGATGCAGTGGACCACCTTGCCCTGGGCACTGGGTGACCAGGGATCCAGTGAATAAACTGGCAGTGTCTCAACCAGTCAGGGATCAAATGAATGCCATGTCGATGTCACAACCAATCAGGGATCAAGAGAATACTATGGCAATGTCACAGCAGTCAGGGATCAAGTGAATACTGTGGCAGTGCACAACCAGTCAGGGATCAAGCGAATTCTGTGGCAGTGTCACAACCAGTCAGGGATCAAGCCAATTCTGTGGCAGTGTCACAACCAGTCAGGGATCAAGCGAATTCTGTGGAAGTGTCGCAACCAGTCAGGGATCAAGCGAATTCTGTGGAAGTGTCACAACCAGTCAGGGATCAAGTGAATACTGTGGCAGTGTTGCAACCAGTCAGGGATCAAGCGAATACTGTGGAAGTGTTACAACCAGTCAGGGATCAAGCGAATTCTGTGGCAGTGTCACAACCAGTCAGGGATCAAGCGAATACTGTGGAAGTGTCACAACCAGTCAGGGATCAAGCGAATACTGTGGCATTGTCACAACCAGTCAGGGATCAAGCGAATTCTATGGCGGTGTCACAACCAGTCAGGGATCAAGCCAATTCTGTGGCAGTGTCACAACCAGTCAGGGATCAAGCGAATTCTGTGGCAATGACCCAGCCAATTAGGGAAAATCTGTTGGTGAGCTAGAACATGGATCTTGCAAAAATGGGATCTTCCTACCAGAAGGTTCTCTGAATGTGTTTCTCGCTTTCCTCCCCCATCTCTTCCCCCTATTGTCCAGGGATAACTTGTACCGCATCAGTTTGGAACCCACTTCAGCTGGAGAGATGCGCTATCATCGGGTAAGTCAAAAGCCCGCAAAGGTCAAGGGGCTTCCTTGACCTTCGGAGGCTCCATCAAAACAAGGAACCCCAAAATGGGCAAGCTTTTGAGATGACAGAAGTCTTCATCAGGCATTACAAAATAAGCGGGGAGAACAGCAAGGAATCCTTGGTACTATGAAGGTATCTGAGCTTACTTCTCAACCATTAGGTTGGAAAATAAACAGAGAGATTTAAGATTCGGAGTGTTTTCCGGACTCTCAGAGAAGGTTTTTATGGTGGGGTTTAGCGGCAGATGTTAGGCGTGCAGACATTACTTCTGTGCATGCAATTATAGTGTTGTTCTTGAGGATGGTAGTGATGTCCTATTAGCATATCGCTATTATTTTCAATATCCATCTTCCTGTTATTCTCCATTTACTGCTCTCTCCGTAACGTAAGGGTGGATTTTCACATTAATATATCTTTTTTTAAAAGTCATTTTTCAAGAAAAACGATTGACCAGTATAAGAGTGTCGTGCTCCAGGAACTGGGTGCCTTTGGGAAATCCAGCTGTGGATGGGATCGGAGGTTTTCCAGAATTAGCCCCCAAATCTTGGAACTTGCCTGGAGGGAAATATTTTCAGGGTGGTCAGGTGGTCTACCTTGAATATCTTTCCTCGTTCGTTTGTTCCTTCCCCGAACCTGTCGTTTTGATTTGTTTTGTTTAACATCCCTCAGAAATTGACATGGACATCAAATCAGCATGATATAAACATCTGCCGGATGAAGGGGAAACACGAGGTAAGCCCTTCTGTGCATCAAACATGAGCTTGATGGCCTGGAATAAATGTCTGGGAGCCTGGTCCCATTTTGCTGCATGCAGTATCTTTTTCTTGCATTCTGTTTGAACTTGAGTCCCTCAGCTTCTGCACAGTCTCAGATCCTGCTCTGAGTAAAGAGGAACGCTGCACCTAGAATAAGTTGCCCTCGTTTGTCAGACATCCCACTCATTGCATGTTTTGCAAGAAATAAGAGTCATAGGGTATTTCATGCTGATGGAAGAAAATCAAAGATCCGGTAATGACCCGTGATGATGTCTCAACCAATCAGGAATCCGTGCCTATGATTTATTTATTTATATGATGGCAACTTCATGGCCAATCAAGGGACAAGCGAGCACAATGGCAGTGTCACAACCCATCAGGGAGCAAAGGAATACTGTGACAATAATAATAACAGTAACCTTAGAAAAGTGTTGGAGGGGACCCCTTAAGATCATCCAGTCCAGCCCTGTCAGGGAGGCCCAGTGGGGGAATCAATCTCCCAACCTCTGGCTCTGCAGTCAGAGACCTAAATCGCTGAGCTGTCGAGCAGCCCTTTGTCACAACCAATCAGGGATCAGATAACCAGTGTGATAATTTCAGGAGCAGCCAGAGATTATGTCACTGATGTACTCAGGTCATGGCCAATAAAGGATCGTTAACCAACGTTAACACACTGTGATGGAAATGGGAGCCTGCGAATCTTGGAATGATGTCAAGAGTAATCAGGGATCATGTACAGGCTGGTTTCTATCATGGCCTATCAGGGATCCTCCACCGTTGTGATTGTACTGTAACAAATCTGAGATCAAGGAATTACTGCGATCCTGTTCAGAGTAATTGGGGATCACGAAATCACTGTGATTATCTCGGGACCAAGCTGGTGCTACACCGTTACAGTGATGATAACGTAACTCATCAGGGATGACGTAGCCACCATCATGATGTCATGGTGCCAGATTTGAGTCTGTGACATTGCAAGTCAAGGAAAGTGCGAAAATTTTCACCCTGTTCCTTAGACTGTCCTTCTAAATGATCACCCAAATACTCTGAGGATAAGGGAAGAACGACTATTTCTCTCGTCGGTTTTTGTCATGAAGTAGCAATGACACCACCTTGCTTTTACAAACACTTAGCTCAGCGTTCATGCTCCCCCTTCCCCAGCTGTAATTCTAGTCCCACCATGATCCCAAGGGTGCGACCCACTCAGCCGTAAGTTCTGTCCCGGAGGGGTGTGCGCGTCTGTGTGTGTTTGGGAACTTTTAGCACTTCGGCGCTGTGAGAAGCCCAAGGAGGTGTTAATAGAATCTGGAAATTGGATTTTGTACCGATTATGAGATGTGTCTGTTCCGATCAACCAACCGGAAATAATTAATTACAAAACCAATTATACAGCCTCCTAATAAATCACATTGGATGTAAAATGTTTTCAGGGAGCTCGGAAGACAGGGGCGGGGGGGGAGAGAGAGAAGGAAGGCGGGAGGGAGTGGAAGGTGACATGTGACTCAAATTTGGAACCGATGGAGAAGTTTCGCCAGAAAGCCGAGAAGGATGAAGATTGAGGTTACAGTCCTGAAGCTAACGGTGATTAGGTTCTGGAATTTCCTCCTTGGTCTTTTTCCCCATCCAAAGACACGTTGGCTCTTTCTGTGGCCATCAATCAACCATGAATGAAAAACGCTTTACACGTGCTCAGAGGTTCCCTTTTCGGTTCTAGCCCGTCTGTTCTGTCTTGTCTCTGTCCATTTCCAGGCCTTTTGGGACAAGCGGTGGCCCTTCAGCCTGGGCCCCGCTATGTATTTCAGAGAGCGACTCCCCCTGATAACGGGGGAGTTATCTCCCCAGAGATGATGGGCTTTGTAGTGGAAGCCACTAAGAAGACCCCAGGCTGACGAAATTGGCTCTACAGAAGGAATGGGTGGTCCTGGGAGCTGCCTTCTCCTCATTTCCAACACCACAGTCCCGGAAAAGCTGAAGACATAGTTTCTGATGGAACATCGGTTTAACAGCTGGGCATCCTCGTTTGGACCCTTGAAAAGGGCACCATGCCAAGACGGCTTCCATTCATCTCATTTTGAAGGCCTTTCCTTCCCCCTCTCCATTAAGAGATTAAAGAGGGTCCGATAGGTGAGAAACGCCCTGCGTGAGAAGCTCACGTCCGGCCTCCCGGCGGAGCGTCTCAGCTGTTCTCCGAAGCAAAAAAAGGGACACCCAGAGTCCTGCCCTGCATCAAAAGTTGAGAAGTCTCCTTGGTGAGATGCCACCGAACCCAGAGCTGCGATTCCTGAAACGAATGATGGATGATCAGCCTTTCTCTGGCTCCACCCTAAAGAGCAATTGCACTGCTCCACTACAGAAACACAGGGTGGAAAAAAAAGGAAAGGCAGATGTTTCTCAAACATATGTTTAATTTTGCGCACTGGTACATCGGTTGATGTCAGGGCCATTGGTTGCCCATTTGGGGTTTTGCCGGCCCATGGAATGAGTTCGGATCCTGCGAGGTTGATTTGCACCTTCTACTCGTCCACTTCTGGCCTGCTGAGTCACCTTTAGCGCCTGACGGGGGCCAGCCCTAAGGTAGAGGGAAGAGGCCACCTTTCGAAGCACCATTGTCGTCATCTGACGGCACATGGAAGCAACCAGAGGAGAGCTAAGTGGCGTGCCTCGAACTCCCTTGAGCAAACGGACTGGTGTCAGGCGTGACGCCATCCATAGCACTGGGCTGCCTGTCCGTCTGGGGTGTATGTGCGTTTGCATTGGTCCCACCTTCGGTTCTGACACGGAAAGAAACAACATTGTCTTCTTTCCATCACTTTTGAACCACAGTCGGTCCCTGGATCTGTTTTGGATTTCAGAAACGCTTTTCCTTCTGAGACCTTTTCCTGCCGATTCGGGAGGGATGGTTTTTTTGGAAACAGCGGAGAGAAAGCCTCTCCGGCTGAAGAGGAGGGACCACACACACACACACACACACACACACACAGACACAACCTGGCTTCTCAAAGAGCTGCTTTTTCCCCCCTCTCCTCTCCAGCCTGCATCTGAAACCATGGAAACGGAGAGGGGAAGAGAAAAGGGTGGTGTTTCGGGAGGGAAGTGCAGAAGAGACAAGGAAAAGCCGACAATAGACAACACAAAGGTCTTCCGCTCAAGCGGGCGTGGGAGGACGAAGCCCTGGGATTGTGGGGCGGGCGTGGAAGGTCTTGATTGCAGAGGTTGAAGGAGGGTGGCATGTGTTGTTATTGTCCCTCTGTTGTCGGAAGGACAACGGCTAAGAGAAGAGGAATCGCTTGCCATGGCTAAGCCACGGAATGGACGAAGGTCTACTGCGCTACAGCACTGTAGCGCTATAGCAGCCACATTAAAGGGGGAAACAGTTGTATGTGACCACGTAGAAAAGAGCCCATTCATTTCTTGACCAAGTTGGGACTTATCCAGTTTCTCCAAAAATAAGACCTTACCTGAAAATAAGCCCTTGTATGATTTTTCAGGATGCTCATCATAGAAGCCCTACCCCAAAAAATAAGCTCCATTTTAATTGAAACCCCACCCTCCACCCTTGTGAAGCAGCCAGAAGAAGAGGACGGGACTGTCTTTGAATCAATGTAGATGGTTGTCCATGAAAAAAAAATCCCCTGAAAATGAACCCTAATGCATTTTTGGAGCAAAAATTAATATAAGACCCTGTTTTATTTTCGGGGAACTATGATAGCGCATCCTCATGACTCAGTCTCCCCCTCTTGGCGTTTTAGGTCATGGTGGCCATGAAGGATGCCAGCACTCCCGAGCATGGGAGTCTGAGCCCCTCGTCAAACGCCAGACCCGTCATTCTCCTGGGGGGGGGTAGGCTCACCAGTTGGAGCAGCATTGCATCGGTGTAACTCATCGGTGTATCCAGAGGGATTGTTCACATTGGCGGATCTCATATTTCGGAATCCTTGGGACCAGTTTGGGCTGCTGAACCCCAAGCCTTGGCCCTCGTTGGGGAGGAATAACCATGGCATAGTGGTTTGCACAGAGGTGGCTTCTAGCTTAGACTACTGCAGTGCACTCAGTGTGGGGCAACCCTTGAAGACTACCCTCAGAGTCCTCAAAAGGGTCCCCCGGTGGCACCAGCTCTGAAGGCGTTGTGCTGGTTGTGGATAGGTTTCTGATCCAAATACTTGGTCCGGGTAGATCAATCCTCCAGGGAGCACCCAAACCTAACCAGGGGGAGAGAAGAAGGGCCCCAGGGGATTGGGGGGGTTAATCTCCTCCAAATGAAATACATCTTCCCAGGAAGACATAAGGGGCGTCATCTGGAAGCCGATCTCTGAATGAGGCATGAGCAACTCAGTAGGAGAAACTTTTCTGTGGGAATAGTGCTGGGATCACCCCGTGTATCCTGGCTCCCAACCTGTCGGCTGTAGATCCTGTATCCTGGCACTGATTTCTCGCCATCTGTGACCTGCCTTTGAACGGAGTTTCTGGGACTTCCTCTGTTTTCCCGAGTCAAAAGGACCGGCTTGCTTCTGCTTTGCTTTCGGACATTGTCTTGGGACTCTGTTGGCTGAACCTGCCCATGGCTCTGATTCTTCAGTCGCCCGGCCACGGCTTCTTCTCCGCCTCTGCCTGCTGGGAAGCAGAATAAGCCCAAACATTTTGGATCCCCTCCTCTGAGTCCCTTTCCCCCCCTCCCCTCCGGACAGGAATAATTCATTACACCGAACGACAAAGCAAGACAAACATTAGAACAGAGTGAAATGCAGCCCGTTTTTAAAATGCAATTAAAATTGAAAACCTTTTGAAAATACCTTGATTAACATGCTAATACTCGCTTGCCCTCTCACGGCTTTGCTTTCCCCCCCCAGGCAGAATGCCGGAATTTCATTAAAGTCCTACTCCTTCGCAATGACAACATGCTGTTTGTGTGCGGGACCAACGCTTTCAACCCGATATGCGCCAACTATAGCGTGAGTACCCCAGACCTAAACATATTCCGCCCAAGGCTTGGATGCAGTGCGTTGAAATAATGCTGTTACCTGCCTTAAAAAAAACACAGGGTCATTATCATCATCATATTAAAACAGCAGAGAAGGAAGGGAGCCAAGAGATCATCCAGTCCAGCCCCTGTCAAGGAGACCCTGTGGGAGATTCGAACTCCCCACCTCTGCAGTTAGATGCGTAAACCGCTGAGTTATGAAGTTACAGTGATGAAGGTCAAGCCCGTTGCAAAAGCTGGGGATAAATGTAATTTCCTGGTGTCAACTACTGTGGGAGATTCGAACTCCCCACCTCTGCAGTTAGATGCGTAAACCGCTGAGTTATGAAGTTACAGTGATGAAGGTCAAGCCTGTTGCAAAAGCTGGGGATAAATGTAATTTCCTGGCATCAGCTAGGGTGGGCAAACTCCGACTGCAGTGGGGACTGGCTTACCCGTATGGGAGCAAGCGCAAGGAGACCGACCAGTGGGTGCCTGCCTGCCATACGCCCCCTCCAGTTCACAGAGGCACAAGTGAGCGGTTGCACAGTTGGGCGCATGATTGAACAGCCAGCAAATAGTAAAAAAGCAGGCTTCTGCATGCACAATATTTCACAAAGGGTTTTTTGATGTTGTTCGGACTAAAAGCCGGTGCGGGTCTGCTTCCAGCAGGCTGGGCTTTCCGGCACGCTGGTTCTTTGTCTTGCAAACGCTTTCCCTGTCTTCATCAAACCTGTGAAACCTGTCAATCTTCTCCCCAACTCCCTTCCTTCCTTCCTTCAGATGGATGCTCTTGAACTCATCGGGGACAACATCAGCGGCATGGCCCGGTGCCCTTACGACCCCAAACACGCCAACGTCGCCCTCTTCACAGGTCAGTCTTGCAGGGATGGCAACCTCAAACCACGCGCAAGCGTGAAAACCATTCTCGCGGGTCACTTCGTTGTAGCAAAAGACCAACCCATTCTCCTTGTCGCTCCTCGGAGATGGAGTGTCTATTTTTCCTAAGTTTTTGTGTGTCCGAGCACGCTTCTTGCGATGGAGAGAGCAGCTGTGTCTTGGGGGAGAGGCGAGTTTAAAACTGCTGTCCGTTTTAAACTCCCACCATATTGATATCAGACGGATGGCCTCTTCACTGTTATTTTGTGTCTCTATTTTTCCGGCTTTCCTCCTTTCTTTCATTTCATCATGCTTGCTTCCCCCCACCTCCCGCCGTTTCTTAATTCGTGAAGTCCCCCAGAGCCAAAAGCCTAGTTTATTATTTTATTTATTTACTTCCTTAATTTTTATACCTTCCGTCTGGCTACCAAGGCCACTCTGGCTGGTTTACAGATTCCAACATGATAAACAACAATAGGGGAAATCAGTCTAATACGGCCAACATTCTTTCCTGCAACACCACTTTTCCTCCTTTCTCGACCCACGAGCTTCATCCATTCTTGATTCTCTCTGTATTTTTTTTCCTTTTCTTTTCCGACAGGGGGCATGCTCTTCACCGCCACCGTGACGGACTTCTTAGCCATCGATGCGGTCATCTATCGCAGCCTCGGGGACAGTCCGACCCTGCGCACCGTCAAGCATGACTCAAAGTGGTTCAAAGGTACGGTTCGGTGGCTTCACCACCGGTTGCCCCCGTTCTCCTGCATCCCGAGTTCCAAATATGTCTCGCCCTTCTCGTTGATGATGACATTTATAAATTCACTCAAAAGTCCAAAACACAGGGTTACAAAAGTAATTCATTACAGTTCCAAAGCAGTGACAATTTTAGTTATTCTTCAAGTCTTGTTCCTTGAGGCTGCTTTGATTCAAAACTGTTTGGGTTCCGTGACTTTTTATTCCAACGTTCCTTGCATGGCGTAAATCTTGATCAATTTGTTTTGCTAAGAAATGTTATGAGAAAGATATGGAAAACTGACTTATTGGTTTGTTTTTTTTAACTAACGGAAGGCTACCAGCAAAAACGCACCCACGTAGTACGGCCCACACACCTCCTGTAACTGTAAAAGGTCTAAAAATAGTTACACTGCTGCAAAACTGAAGTTATATCTCATTATAATACAGTCTTTGTCTAACTTAGCCTTAGTTACTGTATAAAAAGAGAGAGAGAGAGTTACACATCTGTTGTTTTGAAGCTTTCTTGAGAACGTGTAACTTGGCTCACTGCCTCGAGCTGTTCATTTTCAGTCGAGCGTTTCCTGAATCCGCAGCTTTTCCCTTACTCCCGAGCCCTCCATTTCCCTGAGCAACCCTCTTGGTTTGATTCCCCCCACGCCTCGCAAAACCACGGGGTCAGGCTGGATGCTCTCTGGGGGAGCCCATCCTCAAACAAGCCATGCTGACACCTATTCTGCCTTCTTCCACCGCTTACCCTGCAGAACCCTACTTTGTCCACGCCGTGGAGTGGGAAAGCCACGTCTATTTCTTCTTCCGGGAGATTGCCATGGAATTCAACTACCTAGAGAAGGCGAGTCCTTTTCCCCCACGCTTAGATTTCCAAAAGCCACCATTCATTCGATCCCCCCCCCCTTGATGGGTTGGTTATTCCCGCTGCTCCCCGTGCAGGTGGTGGTCTCACGGGTGGCGCGCGTGTGCAAGAACGACCTGGGAGGCTCCCAACGGGTGCTGGAGAAACAGTGGACGTCCTTCCTCAAAGCTCGGCTCAACTGTTCAGTCCCGGGGGATTCCCATTTTTACTTCAACGTCATCCAGTCGGTCACGAACATCTTAGAGATCGACGGGAGACCGGTGGTCCTGGCCGTCTTCTCCACCCCCACCAACAGGTCGGTCGGGTTTGGGGGCGATGAGCTTCATGATACCATGTCAGTGCACAGCTGCTCCCCAAGACGAGCAACGGGGCATTTGAGAATGTGTGAAGTTCAGCTGTTTGGGTCCCCCGCTCTGCTACTGCCTCTTGATTTCTCATAGGTTATGAGTCCACTTTTTCCTGGCGGATTGAGGATGGCGTTGTAGGTGTGTCCCCCCCCCCAGCCCAAGGCCTCCCCTTGGATTTCAGGGCTTTCCACGTTTCACCTCCCAATTTGACGTTCTAACTAAGGGGCGGCTGGGGACCGCTGCTTGGATCCACTCCGGATTTTAGTACGAACTTTAAAGGCGCCTTGCCCAGTTTCAGGATGAGATTGATTGCATTCCAGTGCAACCTTTCTCCTCACCGTGAGGCTCAAGACAGCTCCCAGATCACTGAAACAACGACAGCTGAAAATACAGCGATTAAAAACCCGTTCAATAGAGCTGAAAGGATAACTGAAAGCAAATTAAGAAATGTTAAAACACTTAAAAATCCATGAAAAGGATATATCGGGGGCAATCGGCTGTGTTACTAGGTACTAAGAACTGCTGGACAGCTCAGTGGATTAGGGAGCCAGAGGTTGTGAGTTCGAATCCCTCACTGGGCCTCCCTGAGAGGGGGTTGGACTGGATGACCCAGAGGGCCCCTTCCAGCTCTGCTGTTCTTAGATGATGATGATTCAACACCAAAAATCCTGTTGGAATAAAAATCTTTTCACTTGCCAGTGGAAAGGCAGGGGAGAGGGGGGGCCGCCTAGGCTGCTGGGCATCTCATAGTTCGAGGGACAACCTCTGAGAAGGCCCGCCCTTGGTTCCCCATCAAAGATACCTGTCGTGGTGATGGGATTGAGAGAAAGGCCTCCTGGGATGGTCCTAAAACCCAACGAGACTGATAAGAGTGAAATAGTCTGGGCTCAAGCCATGTAGAGCTCCTTCCAAGTTCAGGGCAAAAATCGGAGCACACTCACCATCCCGCGCCATCAGGCTCATGGCTAGGTGGTACCCCAAGCTGTTTTCCCTAAAAGCTCATCTTCCTCTCTCCTTCAATCTGCCCCTTCACAGCATCCCCGGGTCGGCCGTCTGCGCCTTCGACATGTCCCAAATCGCCTCCGTCTTCGAAGGACGCTTCCGGGAACAAAAATCTCCGGAATCAATCTGGACCCCGGTGCCGGAGGAGTTGGTGCCGAAGCCGCGGTGAGTCGAAAGACGGGACGATGTTAGCAACCCCCTGCCCAAAAACCCCCCACACACACCTTAGTTCTTTTGAACAGCCATGCCGATTTTCTCCTCCTGTTTCGCTTTCCCCAGGCCCGGTTCTTGCACCGCTCCGGGAATGCGCTTCAACTCCTCCAGCTTCCTCCCGGACGAGATCCTCAACTTCGTCAAGACGCATCCGCTGATGGACGAGTCGGTGCCCTCGCTGGGCAACGCTCCCTGGATCATCCGGACTATGGCCCGGTGAGGGGGAGAGCGAGAGGGCGGAAAGGTTTAGAAGTTTATCCACCAGGCACCTCCAACGTTTTGGGTGCGAGTGTTTGCATACGGCTGCGAGAGCCCTCTTAGATTTCTGACAAGCTGATACACCAAAGAAGGGAAAGCAAAGATCCGAAGCCTTGAAAGCAGGGAGAATAATCCTTATGATACAAATGTTGAAATCCGAGAAGATGCATGCTCGGTGTGCATCTTGCATACAGAACAGAATGCCTCTTGTCTGCCGTTCAGATCCCACTCCAATGCCCTTCCCTGTGGTCACGGTATGATGATGCACAATGCCTTCCCCTGTGGTCACTGTATGATGATGCACATGCGAACGGAGAACATCCTCACCTTAGCAGAAGATGCATTCTCGAGAATGCCTCTTTTAAAGACAGCGCTGCTCTTAAAATGGCTTCCTACCTAACTGGGCAAATTTTTATCCCATGAATCTAACGGTGGAGTCAATTTATCCCAGGAATACCTCCCGTTCCTTTACATCTTGGGAGAGGGGGATGTTTAGCTGTTCAGATGTCCCGGACGGATGCCATCTCCCCGAAGCCTCGGCCAGGGCGTCCCAAAAAAAGAAGAGGTCATCTTAGTGATGGTTCAAAATTTTCTGGAAGCCCAAAGCCTTCCTTATTCCCAGTTTGGTTTGTCGAGGCTGTGTGTAAGGGGTCTCCGGAAATTATCACAGCAGAGCAGTCGGTGCTCCCGATAAAGACAGGTTTGCACATTTGTAAGGTCAGTGCAGTGGAAAATACAAACAGATGTCATTTTTCCTGGATTTGGAACAGTTAAGATCTGAACACTACAAATATGTCAAATTTCAGAGTCCTCGTTTCGGGGCTTTTGAGTACTGGGTTGTGTCCCATCAAATCAGAACCCACAGAGACCCTAATAAGGCGTTTAGGATGGCAGTTCCATGCTCCCCGTCGACTCCCGTGGGTTTCCATGGTTGAGCCGAGATTCGAACCCAAGTCTCCAGAGTCTTTTTCTATCTCTCACCCACTCTACCACACGAGGTATCAAATCTGATGACTAAATACTATTAAAATATTATTTATTTGTTTAAATAGCCGCCCAGAGTGGTAGAATATACCAGATGGGCAGGATATAAATTGAATAAACAAACAAACAAACAAACAAACAAACATTTGATTTGGGGGGGGAACACCGTTAGGGGGAACTCAGTCGTGAGCATGCCTCAGATTTGAATTGATCTCCTACCCCACTTCGCCTCCCGGGCCGAATTCATCCACTTGAATCCGTGCATCACACAAATCAGACTGATTTGATTGGGTGCGGAGGATGAGTCTGAATTAGGAGCACAGATCAAAATATATAGAGAGAAATAGACCCAGCAAACATCTCACGATGGCTGTGAAGCTGACAGGAGCGCCTATCTTTCTCCGAATCCTTTATTCGCTTCTGCGGATGGGCCTAGCAAAAGTACCCCATTAATTTCCTCCGCGCCACAGCCAAGACGCTCTGCTTCTAATTAAATCTGCCTTAATTGCTGTTTTATGGGAAATTAATCAAGCTTCATTCCTGTTGTCTCTCAAGCCAGAAATACACACCAGGAAGATATTTGGGAGGGGGTGGACGCATAGATTCGAGAATGTTTCAGGCAAGCTTGAGCTCGGAGGGGAAATAAAAATAAATACATTTAAAAATGGAGGAAACCAAGGAAGTGTAAAATATTCGGCAACCATGTTGGGGGAACGCAGATGTACCGAGCGATCTCAGCCCACCTCCACGGTCGTCCGAGAGAACCAGGCTCCCATTCTCACCCGGCGTTGACTTCCTTGGCTAGTGTCATATGCGAAACAGCCAGAATTAATTGGTGGGGATAATCGCACATTTAATGAGACAACAGGAAAAAAAAAACTTTTCCTCTAATTGACTTTGGGAAGTAAACGAGGCCACCCCCTCTCCGTGAACATGCGTACACATGGCTGTGCGGCTACCCACATTTTTGACTCTGTGTTAGCAACAACCGGTTGTTTTCACATACCCAAATCTTCCTCAGTCAACAGCTCGAAGTGAGTGGTAGCCATCTACGTTTCTTGAGCGAAAAGACAACCCAGAAATCTTAACAGCACCTTAATCTGCATGACACAGTTGTATCAGTTTGATATTACAATACTAGCCCTGTATCTGCAGGGGATCAGTTCCAAACTCCCGCGGATACTGAAAAACGTGGATTACAGCGAACACTATTTTAATAATGAATGCTATACATAGCGTGGGCTCTAACTCCCTTTAGTGGCCAGTTCTGGTAACTTCACCTTGAGAAAAATACATTTCAAAGGTTTTTCTTTTAATATTTTCAGACTGTGGATGAGTGAATCAGCAGATACGGGGGATTCTGTGATTTTTAAGTGCCATGATACAGGATCATGGGATTTGTACTTCAGTGAGGTTCTCTGTTGCCTTTCCTAGAGATTTCCAGCAGAGAATTTCTAGGACCTCAAGAAACTAAAAAGTTCAATCTTTTCTTGAGTTTTAAACCGAGTGAGATTAAACTACCATGTATGAGTAATGTGGGCATGTGTCAAGATTGTTTACTTGGCATCAGGAATTGATGTGTGTGGGGGGGGAGTGGATGAGTATCAGACCAAGATCCAAGAGACGGGTTCAAATTTCCGCTCGGGGGGGGAGTGGATGAGTATCAGACCAAGACCCAAGAGACGGGTTCAAATCTCCGCTCAGCCATGAAAACTCTTGAACATGACAGAGGTAAACCTGAATTTCTTGCATATCTTGAAAACCTGATTAGGGTTCCCATAAAGTCAGGAGTGACGCAGCACCACCTCGCACACAGGTCTGGCATAAGCTTTCGAGACCGGCACTTGGTGGAAGCGTCGGCGGCATTTAATGGCTCAGTCCTACTTTGAGTGAGAAGGATCTTGGCGTCGTCGAAGACTAAAAGCGGAAGATGAGCCCAGGGTGTGAGGTGCCTGCAAAAAAGGCCAATGTGAGTTTAGGGACGCATTGACAGAACTAGAGTCTCCATATCCCAGGAGGTGCTCGTTCCCTTCCATTCAGTTAAGCCTCACCTCGAGTCCTGTGTTCCAGTTCTGGACACCCCATTTCAAGAAGAATGCCGACAAACTGGAGTAAATTCAGAGGAGGGCAAGAAGGAGGATGATCAAGGGGCTGGGAACCAAGCCTAGGGAAGAAAGATGGAAAAGAACTGGGTGGGCCAGTTTAACCTTGATAGAAGAAGCCTGAGGGGGAGACAGGAGAGCATTTTTCAAATACTCGAAAGGTACTCCTACAGAGGAGGGACAGGATCTGTCCTCCATCATCCCTCAGTGCAGGACACATAAGAATGGATTCAAGCGACAGGAAGCCAGATTTCAGCTGACTATCAGGGAAAACTTCTTAACTGTTGGAGCAGTACGACAACGGGACCTGTGACCTTATGGGGAGGCGGTGAGCGCTCCAACGCTGGAGGCGCTCAAGAGGAAACTGGACAACCGTCTTCTCAGATCTGCTTTGATTTGGATCCCTGCCTTGAGCAGAGGGTTGGACTGGATAGCCTTAGAGGTTCCCCTTCCAACTTCTAGGATTATAGGATAATAAATTGATCTGTACTCCAAAAAATGTTCCACCGGGAGGGGGAATGCCAAGCCTACTCTGTCCCACAAATTTCTTGAGTCCTGATCGCCCGTGGTGTTGGTGTTCTTCCCTCATCTTATACTTTGACTCTGCTCCCGCTGGACACAGGTATCAGCTGCGGAAGATTGTGGTGGATCCTGCGGCCGGACCTTCCCGGAACCACACCGTCGTCTTCCTGGCCTCCGACGTGGGCACGGTCCTGAAGTTTCTCATCCGAGCCAACATCAGCAGCAGCGCCACGACCCTACGAGCGAGTAGCCGCAGCTTGCTGCTGGAGGAGTTCGAAACCTACCCGAGTGACAAGTAAGACAGCCTGGACAGAGAGAGTGAGAGAGAGAAATCAGTCGTATTTTCATAGCTCCATTCAATTCCTAGCATTTCATAAGGGTGTCAAATCTATTCCGAATTTTGCTTCGAATTTTATGGGAGCTGTCCCCGGTTTGGAGTCCAGTTTACCGGAAATACGTTCAGCATCTTGGACAGCTGTGTTCAAGTTTGAACTAAAATCTGGGGCGATCCTTGAGACATTTGGGGTTTCCGCCTTAATCAAGCATAAGGGAGGGGGTCTGACCCACAAACACCCCCATAAAGGCATAAACCTGGAAAACAACTTGCGGCGTAGTTGGGTGAACGAGATGGTTGCAAAGCTGAAATTGTCCTGTGTGACTCCGAAGGCGCCTGGTTTTCCCACTGAGTGAATCCACTCCCAAGCTAAAATATTCTGTATGACTCCAAAGGCGGCTCATTTTCCCCACGAATGAATCCGGTCCAAAGCTAAAATGGTTCTGTGTGACTCGGAAGGTTGCTCGTTTTTACACAAACCCATCCGGTCCGAATTTAAAATGGTTTTGTGTGACTCCGAAGCCTGCTAGTTTTCACACGAATGGATCCAGTCCATGATCCTTGTCTCTCTCTTTCTCTTTTTTTTTAATTGCACCCTGCTACCTCTCTGCTCCCTTCAAGCCCCGGTTTTGCTCTTTCCAGGTGCGGAAAAGACAACGTCGCTGAGCGCAGACTTCTGGGAATGGAACTGGATAAAGCCACAAGCTCGCTTCTGCTGGCGTTCACCCCCTGCGTGGTCCGCGCGCCTCTGGCCCGGTGCCACCAGCACTCCGGCTGCATGAAGTAAGTCACCGAGTTCCCTCCCACACTTCCTTCTTCTAAAGCCTGGGAAACTCTCCTTCCAAACTACATTTCCCAGAATCCCCAGGCAGCAGGCTGGGAACGGTAGTCTGGAAAGGGAGGTTTCTCTTCCCCGGATCTGTTTTTGATCCCTTCTCACCCAGCGGTCCTCTTCGGCTCCGGAGCATTTTCATGCCACGCCGCATCCGTCGCTGCGCATTCGCCTCGTAACATTTTGTCGGAAAGGCAGGAAATGTAACTGCACATCTGGTTTATTTTTTTTTAAGAGGATGCTTATTTTATCATTTTATGAGTATCCCTGCATTGCTGGATGGTTTTTATGATTGTGTATATGCCTTGACGTTCGATTTCAAACACTGTTTTGAAGACTGGCTTGAGGTCTTGCAAACCACCTGATCAGTAAAATACCAATATATTTTGTTGCAAAAACGAATGGTTTAGACACCTGGACAGGCCAGTTCAAATTCCTTACAAGGTCTGGGGGGAGAGAACACCCACGGCGTAAGGACTTATTATTTATTAATTCTGCAACATAAGGAGTACACAGAAGTGAATGCCTGATGAATTGAAGTTTACAGATGTGCGCTAGAATTAATATATACTCATACTAGTCACTTATTGCTGACCGTATCTGCTCATTTGTCTAGTTTTGCTGACTTCTGCTTCTTTCGTTTGCTTAGGCTTCTCTCTTGGCTGTCTCATCTGTTTTAATTTTCCCTTATCACCTTGTTTCCCTTAATTTTTTTGGACAACACAGTCCTTTCCTTCCCTGAGGAAAAAGCCAGGCTTGAAAACCCTGTTTCTTTACCGTTCCTCATGGGGTCAGAAGATGGGCTGAAATCTGCTTTGCGCAGGTCCGCAAAAGCATGACTTTCAGCAGGAAATTGCTGTATAAGTATTTGTGGCCCACGTCCTCTAGCACAGCCCCACCGAGCATCACCACCACCATCACCACCATCATCATCATCATCATCATCATCACAATAATCTTGGAACTGCAGAGCCGGCTGGGTCACTCGGTGGTTTAAGTCTCTGGCTGCAAGCTGGAGGTTTGGAGTTCGAATCCCCCCACTGGGTGCCTCCTGGATGCAGAGCCCGCCTGTGTGGCCTTGGGCAAAAGCTGCACAGTCCCAGGATAACCCCCCCCCCGAAGAAGGGAATTTATGTGTTTATTTATTTATTTGAATTTTATCCCGTCCGTCTGGCTACTAAGGCCACTCTCGGTGACTTACAAAACAGAAAACCACTTTTAAGTATTCTCTACCTTTGGGTAGTGCGAGTGGCATATAAGTTAGTTAAATAAATAAATAAATAAATAACCCTGAACAGGGTTGCCGTGAGTCAGGATTGACTCGATGACCCATTATTGTTGTTGTTGTTGTTAGCAATGCAAAGCCGGAGGAGACCCTCTGGATCATCCAGTCCAACCCCTGATTCGAAAGCCGGAGGAGACCCTCTGGATCATCCATTCCAACCCCTAATTCAAACTCCCAGCCCCTGGCTCCTCAGCCAGAGACCTAAACCTCTGATCTCTCCAGCCCATTCCCTTAATAATGATCTTAAGACTGCAGAGCCGGGAGGGACCCCTAAAGATCATCCAGTCCAGCCCCTGTGAAGGACGCCCAGTAGGGGAATCAAACTCCCAACCTCTGGCTCACACTTGGGGCAAATAAATTAAGTTGGTCTGGTTTTCAGATCTGGTTCCCTCCCACCCACTGTGGAGCCAGAAAGAGGACAAAGTTTGTAACGCACTTCCGATGAAGGCTATGAAAGCCAGTCTCCATCAGCTGACTGTGAACCATCAGCTTGCATCTTCCACACTGATCCCAGCGATTATCAGGTTTTAGGGACCTTACATAAGGGCTTTTCCCCGTGCAAAACCTTGTGCCGGCTCCTTGGAAAAGCTGGTGGCCACCACCTCTTCTCCACCCCCAACTTCAGGGCAAAGCAATATTAAAATCATTTGTCAGCCACCGTAGAGCGCCTTGTCATCGCGGCCAGCGGCTACGCCGGCGGCCGTTCCTCCTCTAATGATCAGCCTCACTAGTATTCAGATCTTTTTCCCGTTACTAGGAGGTGAGGCGGGATGTGAAGGTGGAGGAAATTTAAAATCCCACATGGAGGAAGAAGAGTTCAAATCAAAGAGCAGGCTGGTCGTAGGACGCAAGAGAGGATGGTGGGTAGAGGGTCATCATGGTAGAACAGCAGAGCTGGAAGGGGTCCCGAAAGATCATGCAGTCCAGCCCCTGTCAAGGAGACACAATGGAGGAATTCGACCTCCCTGCTTCTGGCTCTGCAGCCAGATGCCTCAACCCCTGAGCGACACAGCTGTCCATTTTGGTCTGCCTGGGTCCCATATGTTTGGCGTGGGGATGGAAGAAATACCCAACCAAGGCTAGAACATTTATTCTCCTATATTTCTCATGAGCATCCAAATTTGGAGTGGGGGGGCGCGTCCTGCTTCCCATCCGGACTTGTCATGAACAATAAAGATTGTGAATACAGCAAGTTCTTAATTTTTTTTTAAAGGGACCCCATTCTAATGAAACCCCAAACTGACTTTTGTTCCTTTCTCCGGCCGAGTCCAATGTTGGCTGGATTCTCCCGGGTTTTCCTCTCCTCGGCTCCTGCCACAGACTCCGGCTTCGCCTCTGTAACAGCCTGATCTTTGCTTCTTGTCTTTCAGGAGCTGTTTAGGGAGTCGGGACCCCTACTGCGGCTGGACCCCGGAAGGATCGTGTATTTTTGTGGATCACAATACCAGGTAGCCTATCAGTGGCGTAAGCTGGGCGGCCAGATCCGCGCTTTGAAAGCATGTAGCGGAGTCCCAGAAGGAGCGGCGGGATGGCTCAGAAACACGTGGGAATGCGCTTAGGGGTTCAAGATGCAGGTTGCGGAGAAAGTGTGGCGTGTCATAGAAATCCTCCCCCTGACAATAAGAAAGGCAGAATGAACCAGAAGGAGAGAGACTTCGGATGTATTCTGCTGTGATTAGGAACCCCTGATAGACACCGCACGCCAATGTCTTTATAAAATCAGAATAAATGAGTTGGAAGGGGCCTCTTGAGGCTATCCAATCCAACCCCCTGCTCAAGGCAGGCATCCAGATGAAAGCAGATCGGAGAGAAGGTGATCCTGTTTCCTCTTGAAGGCCTCCTGCGTTAGAGTGCTCACCAGCTCCCCATAAGGTCATGGGTCCCATTGTCGTACTGCTCCAACTGTTGAGACGTTTTTCCTGATATTCGACCCAAATCTGGCTTCCCGGTCACTTGAGCCCATTCTGACGTGTCCTGCACTCTGGGATGATCAAGAACAGATCCTGCCTCTCTTCTACATGACGACCTTTCTGAGTATTTGAAAAATGCTCTCCCCTCCCATCTTCTTTTCTCAAGGCTAAACAGGCCTGCCCGGTTCTTTCCAGTCTTTCCTCCTTCTAGGGCTTGGTTTCCAGCCCCCTGATCATCCTCCTTCTTGCCCTCCTTTGAACTTGCTCCAGTTTGCCTTTAAGTCTGCCAGAGTCCTCCGGGAGATTTGCACTTGTGTATGGGAAACCAGGAGGTCATGGCTGCAAACCGCCACTCATTAAGGAGGTGCCGAATCGCCCGATCTGATCCGTGCCCGGAAACCTCTTGAATCCAGGGCCAGTGAGCCCTTGCTGCTGATCCAATTTCCTTTACATAAGTGTAAAGGGCCAGCCGTGCTTCTGGTCTGCATCTCAGCTTCCCATCTGCACCCTATAAATGGGCCCGTGTCGCTTGAACCCATTATTTTGGGTCGTGGCCTCTGAAGCGGAGCGGTGAAACACAGGCCTGGTTCCCTGCACGAATGTGATATCTTTGCATCAATGCGCTTTTGAAACCCTTGTCCATTTAATTAGCCAGACTCCTATTACTTAGGTGGAAGTCAAAGAGGCTGTTGGGATATATCCCCGAGATCCGTCGATACAGGACGAGTTGGAGAAAAGCTCTAATTGATTGATTAACGATGAGCCAAGAGGGGTGGACCAAACCTTTCCATTGCTTTACGCTGAATGCTGCTTCTCCCGCTTACTTTCTGTGGTCTGTTTGCAGGGTTCCCTTTGAGCAAGACATCAGCGGGGCCAGGACTTCACATCTCGGGGACTGCGAAGGTATGCGTCACTCCGTCGGTCGGTCTGGATGTAGCCTCGGTCGTTAAGAAGCACGGTTGAAAACTTTAAAAGTTTGGGTCCCATCACGATCACTTCTGAAGACTGGCGAGCAGGGCTATCCCATAAGGATGGGACGCCATTTGGGGGATTTCTAAGATAAAAATGCCACCCGCCCACCCCAGCAGTGAAACATTTTGGCTGCCAAGGTCTGGGGGGTGACGGCAACCAGCCCGTCGGTCCATGTTCGAGTGGCTGAGGGGGATCCCTCACCTTTTGAGGGACGAGGCAAAATGTTCCCTGTTTCTTGTCCCCCAAAACGGCCCCCAAAACTTTTTTTGCACTACTGGTGATGAAAAAAGGCCTACTTTAGACCTGAAAGCCTCAGCTTTTCGCTCACCTGGAGAAAAGGCGTGGCTCCGAAGCCTTTGCCGCCTCGCATAGACCGAGTTCCAGGCCCGAGACTCCAGAATACACAGACTTTGGTTCTGTCCCATGGGTGTTGCCGCCTCCTAACGCAGGCCGCCTGAGGCCTCCTGCCCAAGGTCCTCGCCAACCCTGTTTGTTGCGGGGGGGAGAAGCCCTTGGAGCCCTGGGACTTTGTACCACTTTCAGCCAGGAGGCCCAGTGGGGGATTCGAACCCCCAACCTCTGGCTCCCCAGCCAGACCTAAACCACTTTGCTTCTGGACTAAAACCCGCAATGGAGTCACCATGACCCCCATGAATTCAGGAGTCCCCAGATGCCGCTAAATAAGCTCTGTTCTCTGGCCCCTCTCCTCACTGTCTCCTCTCCGCTCCCCAGGGCTGATGACCGAAAGTTTTGTGGACGAACCGGACGGCCTGGTGTCGGTCAACCTGCTGGTGATCTCCTCCGTGGCGGCCTTCGTCATCGGGGCGGTGATCTCGGGCTTCAGCGTCTGCTGGTTTATCGGCCACCGCGACCGGAAGGAGCTGGCCCGCCGGAAGGATAAAGAGAACATCCTTTCTCACAGCGAGTCGGTGGTGAGCGTCAGCCGGATGGGCGAGCGGCGGGCTCGGGGGGCCCCCGGCGGTGGCCCGCCGGAGAACCTGCTGGCCCCCTTGATGCAGAACGGCTGGCCCAAGGGGCTCATCAAAGTCAGCCAGCACGACCTCGATTCGGGGGTGCTCCCGACACCGGAGCAAACTCCCTTGCAGCAGAAGAGGTGCCCCAAACCCTGCACGTGGGAATACAGCCACAACCTCATCAACGCTTCCCTGCGGGGCGGGGACCCCCCGTCCTCCGTGATCCTCCTCCACGCGGGCCACACCCCGGTGTCTGCGCACCACCTCGGCTCAGGGAGGGTCCTCCCCGTTTCCTGCCACTCCATGCTGATGGACCAGGACTTGGAGAGCGGAAGCAGGGACCTGCCGCTGGACATGTGCTACCTCCCGGTCAGCGGCAACGAAGGGGGCCCCCGGGGGCCCCAACAGATCCCCGCGTTGCACAGATCCTGCGGGGCGCGGGGCTCCCACGGGGGGGAGCTGCCCATCACACCCCACGACAGCCCGGACCGGCGGCGGGTGGTGTCGGCCCCCAGTGGGGAGACGGGGGACCCCGCTCAGTGGCACCCGGAAAAGCTGAACTCGAATAGTAACAACGCCACCTGCAAGGCCACCCCCGGGCACCTGAAGCGCACCCACACGTTCAACAGCGGGGAGGGCCCGGCGGGGTACGCCCGGGCACAGCAACGGCCGCCCACGCTGGGCCCCCAGCACTCGCTCACGGACTTCAGCCACCTCCTGAAATATGGGGGCCTCGAGCAGACTCCCTCCTCGGTCAAATAGGAGAGCCGGCCCCCCCCGGGTGTGTGTGGCTTGGCTTGGTGACCCCCCTTTCCTGGCCGAACAGGGGAGGTTGGGGTTCGCGGTGGCAAAGTGGAGGGGCGAGAGACGGACACGGAGACCCTCGTTCCCCTCTGGGGAGGGACCGAGGGCGGGGACCCATGCTCCCCCCCTCCCCTGGTATACGGATTGTCGGGGAGACGGGGGGGAGGTTAAGCAGAGAGAGGATGCCAGAGGCAGGGGGGAAAGGGGGGGGAACGGACCCTCTTCTGTGTACATCTCCGTGTGTTTTCGAGGGCCCCCCCATCCCGTCCATTCTCCGTTGGACCCTTCCTCAATTTTACGTGGCTCCTACTTCCCTCCCCCCACAAAGACAGGCGACCGGTGGATGAGGGGACGCTCCCAAATCCACTCTGGAAAAGCTCTCTTATTAGAATAATAATTATTAATCTTACGGCAACGGGACAGGATGGAACAGTGGTCACAGCAGGAGGGCAGACACCACAGCCCGTCTCGGCTGCTCGAGAAGACGGAGAAGACCGCCCGCCAGATTTGAAGGCCGTCTCCTCAGTTGCTCTCCCTCCCCATCCCTTTCTTTCTCTCCTTTTTCCCCCCCCTCTTTGGGGAACAGTTGGGGGCTGGACGCATGGTATGAGATTGTGAAAGGGTTTTTTTTTGTTTTGTTTTGTTTTTTATGATATGAATTAACAACCAGATCCTCCTTATAAGCCAGGTTTTGAATTTCCCTCCTTCTCGGGGGACAGTTGGGATTTTTAGGTACGCACACGCAAAACTGTACATTCCGGATTAACCTAGGAGGAAATGGGGTTCGAAGGAGGGTTCTTTTCTCATAGGGGGTGCATCCGCACACCCCGGCAGCTTCCCCCCCTTTACAGGATCAAGAATCGTCTCTTGTTCCCGGTTTTCAAACGGTGCTACCAGTGAGCAAAACAGGAGTGCGACAACGCCCCTCGGTTTAATCATTCCTGTCAATGCTGCAGGTTTCTTACTCCCTTTGACAAAAACTTTTGGGGTGCTCTGGCTGTGACCCCCCCTCCCAGACGTTTCTGTTGTGTTCGGAGGCATGGCTTGCTGCCAGTAAGACAGGAAGAGGTGGCTGCCATGGAATGCCCATAAGCACTACAACCGCTCTGTCCGCAGGGGAAAAGTTAAGGATCTGGGGACTGGACCGTCTGGGTGCTGCGTACGTTGCAGGGATGGGGAAAGAGTTCCTTTCAGCAATTTCCATGTTTTCCCCACATTTGAGCTGGGAAAGTGGGGGGGGCGGGAAGGAGAGGGAGGATCAGCAACCCGGGTGTCCATGGTAGCTCCGTACGAGTCGACTGGTCCACCACCATGCACACGTAAGAAAGCTCCAGCATCCCCCTCCCTGGGCATCGCCTCTTCTCTCACAGGGAAAAAAATATATATATCTTAATAAGCACACTGACTAAAGAGTGTGGGAAGCATGCACGGCCCGCGGGATAACATAGCGGGCCAGTATGACGCCACTTCTCTCGTGACCTGTGCTCGCCGCCCGGTGACTTTTCATCTTCTAAATATGCGCGTCTCCTGCATGCTACAGCAGTACAAACTTGTCTGTATCGCTCTGTGGGAAACAAATCCATTATTTTTTTTCCGTCCAATAAACTTTTGTTTACGACGACTGGTGGCTCGGCTCTTCTCTGGGCGTTTTTCTCCCGCTTTTCTCTCCCCTCCGTTCGCCATTCTTTCCCTTGAAGGCACCTGGTTTCTTTGGCAGAAAAGCCGGTCTTTCTGAACGTGGGCTGTCAATGGCCCGCAGAGAATACAGGGCGGGCCAGTTGTGGCCTTCCAGATGTGATGTGGCTGGCCACGCCCCTCTTCATTGGCATGATGGCTGGGATTGAATGGGGCTGCTTTCCAAGAATCTCTGGGTCCCCCCCCCCTCATTTTGCTCGTCCCAATCAGCACAGTGAATAAGAAAGGATACTCTTAGGAATAAATGCTATTTCGTTTCTATCCCTCCCTGCTTCACAAAGCAGTCAGGGTGGCTCCCGGCATTCGTAACGACACATAAACACGGCTGAAATGACAAGCCTGGAATCGCAGCCATGTACAACGCCATAACAATGCAAAATCATCAGCAAATGGGGTTCAAAACAGCAGAGAGACCTTCAACCCAGAGCTGAAGGTGAGCCACTCCTGGTTTCTTGATTCTGGCTCACCTGCGTGAAAGGGTTAGCTGGGAAGCCTCTAGGCCTAGTCTAGGCCTAGTTCCACCCTAACTTCCTGTTCAGAAACGCAGCTGCCTCACTTCTAAGCTTATAGTCTAGGCCGGAAGTTAGGGTGGAACTAGGCCTAGACTAGGCCTAGAGGCTTCCCAGCTAGGCCTATTCTCCAGGTGAGTGAAAATTAGGTCTCTGTAGGAATCTGTCAGGTGGAACTCCCAGAGTGGAGAGTTATGGGTTTGGTAGTCCAATAAGTCCACAAACGACATGTCCTTACCATTCTGATTGGTTTCAATAGGAAGAAAGCAGGCTGCCTTACTGCTAATGAAACCGATGATCTACCGAACTCATGTCGCCAGCACTGACTGCACCTCTTGGAAAATTTAACATTGGTAACGAATTATTGGGATTCTCCAGATCTCAGGAGATCCAGTCTTAAAATTGGAGCCTGAGTATCAGCTGTTCTGCATCGTTTGAAACGGGGCCTCTTCCCCCCCTTCCCCCAAATGGAGAACAAGCCACCCTCTGAGATCTGCAAAGAATCCCTCTTCCAAACAATCCGAGAGCTGCCAGAGGTGGCCAGCGGAGTGTGAGAACGACCATGCTGGTGGCTCTTTGGGACTCACATCTTGGCCGGCTAATTGAAACAGCGGGCAGGACGAGAAGCGATTACCGAGGATGGAGAGCTGCCAGGGTTCTGGGGTTAAAATAAATGCAGTTGGCGCGCGCTGGCTCTCTACTCCTCATGTGTTGCTCTTGGCTAAAATCGCTCGGAGATGCCCAACGACAAAGCCACGGTGGTGACTCGTTGCATCTTCCGCCCGGGAAGCCACATTGTGCATTTCAGCGCTGGGCCTGTGTGTGTGTGTGTCTGCCTTTGGGTTCGAACCGGCCCGGTTTCTCAGCTCTTCTGTCCAAACCTCTCCGAAGGCTGCAAACCGAATCAGAGGCAGGAGACATCCCCCCCCCCTTGAATCAAATTTCTAAAGATTCGTTGGCAGGGCCTATGCAACACAGCCGCCTGGAAGGAAGACCACAGGCAAAATCGCGAAGCAGAAAAAAAGGGGGAAGATCGCTTGAATCACACCATTCAGAGGATGTGGTTTTGGAAGAGGGATCCGTGTTAGTGGTCTGGGCAAGCATACACGGCAAAATCCAAAGAAACAAAATGAACCAAAACCAAATATGATCTTGTTCTGTTGACGCCTCCGACTTATAGCAAACCTACGAATGAGCAATCTCCAGCATGTCCTGTCCTCAGTAACTCTGCTCAGCTCCTGCAAGTGCAAAAGTCGTGGCTTCCTTTATGGTGTTGACCCATCTCACATTGGGATCTTCCTCTCTTCCTGCTGCCTTCCACCTTCCCGAGCATGATGGCCTTTTCTGGAGAATCCTCCCTTCTCAGGATGAGCCCAACGTAGAACAGGCTGAGCTTCAAGATGTTTGTTTCCCAAGAGCAAACGTAGAACAGGCTGAGCTTCAAGATGTTTGTTTCCCGAGAGCGTTCAAGCTTGATTTGATCCAGGACCCATTGGTTTGCCTTTCTGGCCCTCTTCAACAGCCTTTCTCAGTTCTTGTGAATGCAAGACTGTGACCTCCTTTCTAGGGAATCGATCCACAGATGGATGGACATGTTCATTGGTTTTATTAAGTTAAGGCCAACTCCCACCACCATATCTGTGCTTTGGTGGGCCACGGATCCATGCTTCTTTCTTGGCTGTGAAAAATCAGGCGGCTGCGATGCGTTTGCACACCAAAGCTGCTTTAAAGGCAGAAGAGCCGGTAAGTTGGCAACCCAATTCACAACTCAACTGTGGCAGCTCAGCGCCTTCCAGGACGCCTCCGACTACAACTCCCATCACTTCAGGGCAGCGTGAACTAACCTTCCGGTGGGGTGGCGGGGGGGGGGAATCTCGTTGATTCTAAGAAATGATGTGAGTAAACACACAGGGTGTGTCACTTATTTTCTCTTTTCTTTCTCACCCTTTGTTTTGAAATGGCCGAGAAGGTTACGCCGCGCGGCCAAGCCTCCCCGAAGGTCCGAACCTCGATGTCTGACACCCGCAGCCACAAAATTTAAATCACAATCATCATCATCCACCAGAAAAGAGAGTAAGAGAGAGAGAGAGAATGCACAAAGCAATGGGTATAAATAGAGCAGGCGTGGGCTGGGTGTCCGCCAGAGGAACGAACGTTTTTTAATTATTGTTTTAAAAGAAACACAGGCGGGGCGAAGTGCGAACATATTTGGGGGTTTGATTTAATTTTCGCTCCCCAGCTGCCAATTACAGAGGCGCAGAAGGAGGAAAAGGGAGATGGTTTCGGTGGAGGGGGAAAGGCGTTTTTCAAGTCTCGTTCGCGTCAAAACACTCTCCCTTCGGAGGGGAAAACTGGCGCTTAAAACCGAGGTGCCGGTTTATTGCCACAGCCGGGTCTACAAACCAAGGTGTGGCTGAGCTCTGAGTTTGGATAATGGTTTTGATCCAGTTGGACATCCGGATGGAAGACGGAGGACTGGGTTTGCCTCTGGTTTGAAGAGACACAATAGTGGGGGTTTGTTTGTTTGTTTGTTTGTTTTGTTTTTGAGATTTGGAGTATAAATGGCTACTGCCTACTCCTTAAAAGAACACCAGACCTTAAAAGTGCACAGCCACCGGTGTGAAATTCTGTCTGGTTTCGCTCTCCGAAAAACAGCCAGTCTCATGCATGAGCTCCTGAGTGCAGTAGGATGACTTGGTCCGGAATCGGTAGTGAAGAGCCATTGAATTTACAAAAGACCTGTTTCTGGTGGAGATGAAAATGGGCCAAACCTGGTTTGCTGGGTTTTTAGATTCTGGAAGAGTCTCTGCCAAGTCAGACTTGGTGGTTTATTTTGCTTGTTTCCCGCCTGAACCTTTCAACGGTGGATACCAGGGACTGGGAGAGCCTCTATGTGTTAATAATTCATCATGGAGTGCCAGACTTTCGCTCTCCTACCTTACAGGATTGTTGTGAAACACATTGCCCACCAGTCTAGGCCTTGCGGGAATGCTTAGATTCAATGGCAACCTTGTGCACACAATGAAATTTTGTCCTCTCATTTTATTTTTGTCCTTATTGCGTTTAAACATCTTCATTCCCTCCCTCCACACAGCCCCAAAGCGCTCTCCGGAGTTACCGCCAGGCCGTTAAATTTTATTTTATTTGACCGGTCGTTCATCCTCGGGCATCAAGGCAGAGGGAAATTCCCCCAAAGAACAGTAAAAGGGAGCTGGGTTCCAGCTTTGATGGATCTTAAAAATGTTGCCAGGGCAAGTGAGAGGAAAATGACGAGCTTTGCGTGGAGAGACGATCAGCAGCACGGGATGTTTGTGGAGAAAAAGACCCTGGGCCTCTTCCTCAAAACTCACCATCATCCCCCTCAAGGGACCCCAATATTACAGCCTGTCGGGTCGTGAACCCCAGAATCAATGAATCGCCAGCGTCCCCGGGAGTCTCTTAGAATCGGTATTAAAAGGCAATGTAATAAATCGGCCAGACACCGCCAAGACCGAGCCTTGCGAATCATAAAACATCGCAGAGCGCCAGGCTGATATTATTAGGCTGTATTTAAATTGCAAACATTACAGTCTATTAAAGACCCTCCGATGGCAGGGAGAAGAAGCTGCCGTTTCGGCCTCTCGGCCCTGGCCGACACAGAACGTGAAAACCCGTTGGGACTTTCTGGATCCTTGGGAGACTTTTTATAACCGCTCGGGGGGCCAGTGTTAGGCGTGCGCCGCCCAATCCCCGCCCCTTCTCCGAAACAGCCAGCGATGGCATAAAAGTCTACAGAAGGGTGCCTAGAGGTCATCCAACTCAGCTCCAACAACAGAGGGATCCAGAGCTCAAGCATCTCATGATCTTTAAAAGCCTCCAATGGATGGATGGATGGATGGATGGATGGAAGGAAGGAAGGAAGGAGCTGATGATGGATGGAGAGAGGTTCTATCATCTATCTATCTATCTATCTATCTATCTATCTATCTATCTATCTATCTATCTATCTATCTATCTATCTATCTATCTATCTATCTATCTATCTATCTATCTATCTATCTATCTATCTATCTATCTATCTATCTATCTATCTATCTATCTATCTATCTATCTATCTATCTATCTATCTATCTATCTATCTATCTATCTATCTATCTATCTATCTATCTATCTATCTATCTATCTATCTATCTATCTATCTATCTATCTATCTATCTATCTATCTATCTATCTATCTATCTATCTATCTATCTATCTATCTATCTATCTATCTATCTATCTATCTATCTATCTATCTATCTAGCTATCTATCTATCGATCTATCATCTACCTACCTACCTACCTACCTACATACCTACCTACATACCTACCTACCTATTTATTTATTGAATTTATATCCCGCCTATCTAGTCACGGCGGACTACCTACCTACCTATCTATCTATCTGCATCCTATGGTTCGGTTCTCCAGCGGCCTCAGGTTTGCAACCCAACCCAGTGCGGATGGATATCTGGCTTCTGAGGGTGACGATTCTGTTTTCGGTGCCAAACTCAGGCTCGGCAGGCTGCCAAGGTGCCCCTGGGGTCCTCGTCTGCACGATGATGCACTGCTCCCTCCATCACCCTCTTGGCCATCCACGCTCCGCATGTGAAGGTCGGAGAGAGGAGAGGAAAACCTGCCTAGGAAAGGGGGTGGGTGGGTTTACTCCATAGGCCCAGGCAAGACTGAATTTGTGTTTTTCTCCCTGGTGGGGTGCTTTTGGAGACGCACGCCCTCCCCCGTTGTCTCTGACTATGGATGGCTCACTTAAGCAAGGGAGGAGGATGGAAGCCCGGAGATAAATCTCCACCAGGATGATTCCCTCGGAGCTAATAAAGGAGAAAACAGTATCGCTCGCCTGATGAGATGCTTCATAGGGGCACCCGGCAGAAGGGGAAGAAAGACCAGCAAGGATGTGAGGGGAGCCAGCTGGGAGGAACAGCGCCTTTCACACAGGTATTTTCTTTTAACAAAAAATGACACAGAAGTTGAAAACTGCACGCACACATGCTTTTGGTTAAAAGGGCTACCGTTTTCGTACCATGAAGCCACCTCCGACTCCATAGCCCTGCTCAGGTGCGGCAAACTGAACAAGTCGTGGTTTCTTTTAGGGAGCCGGTCCATCTCATGTTGGGTCTTCCTCTTTTCCTCCTGCCTGCCTTCCATGCCTTTCTCCTCTAAAGGGTATGTGGGTAATAAAGGGGGTACGTTGAGGAAACAGCTATTCTTCAACCCCTATTCAAAAAAAAAAGGACATGAAATATGCAAGATGTTGTACCGGTTAAAGCATCAACATAACCACCACTGAGCCAGAAATTTAAAAGTATGGCCTCTGCCTGTTTGTTCTATACTAACCTGGCCTACCTCTTAAGGTCGTTGATGTGGAGATTCATGGGCCACCGAAAAAGCCCTCTTTCACACACTTTATTTTTTAAAAGCCAATGGTCAAAAAGGCATAAAATGACTCACATGCTTTGGGGGGACGAAAGGCACAGGTACAAATAATGTCATCATCATCATCCTCTTCGAACTGCAGAGCTGGAAAGGGACCCTCGAGATCACCCAGTCCAGCCCTTGTCCAGGAGGCCCAGCGTGGGATTCAAACTTGTGACCCCGGCTCCGCAGCCCAGAGGGGTCAGCCGCTATGGAAAAACGGGCACGTAAAGGGCCATATGATGGGGAAATGGGTACGGTTCCCTATAAAGTTGAGGGAAAATGTCTTCCAACCAAACCGACAAGAAAGATAATTTAACATACGATTCGGACACAGGATTTAAAATAAAATAAAAATCAAACGACGGAGCATTTCCCAGTCCTTATTTGCAAACAAGGTCAACCTGGTGCTTTGACAAGAAAAGCGCCTGGTTGTTAAGAAAAGCTGATCTATACAGAATTTGTGCGCACTATAGTCTATTTTGTCCCATACTGTATTCCTGCATCTATAATCCCCCACGCCCTACTTGGCGTCTAAAATATGACTACCGCATGCCATTTGTGTGGATCTGGCGAACGGCAGGCAGCATTGTGCACAGATCCCCTGTGACCCCATGCTCACATCTATGCGCTCTGGCTCACAACTGCTGTGTGTTGCAAAAACCACCCCTATAGCCTTGAATTGGGGGCCCAGATGAAAAAAAAGCTGCAGAGAGACGCACATCTCTGGACCGGGTGCCGTATGCAACCACGGCTGGTGAGGACGTGGTTCTTTCGTGATCCCTGTCTCTCATATCACATTTAAAGCGGAATTTTAAAAACAACCACAGAATGTTTTAAACTGCGCCAGGAGTGACACCTTGTGGCCACGGATGAATTCAGGTCCGATCCGTGGAGTGCTTTGTATATAAACTTTGTCCTGAAAGGTGGGAGAACAAGAAAAGGACAGATTTTAAAATGGGAGCAAAATTCTTTCGTGATCCCTGTCTCTCATATCACATTTAAAGCGGAATTTTAAAAACAACCACAGAATGTTTTAAACTGCGCCAGGAGTGACACCTTGTGGCCACGGATGAATTCAGGTCCGATCCGTGGAGTGCTTTGTATATAAACTTTGTCCTGAAAGGTGGGAGAACAAGAAAAGGACAAATTTAAAAATGGGAGCAAAACATTCATTCAATCAATCAATCAATTTATATACCGTCCATCAGGCCGAGGGCCACTCTAGGTGGCTCACAACACCAAAGAACAAAAATGATATAAAGAAATCAAATCCTAAAGTATAACACAGTGATATGAAAATAAGAAAACCCAAGCCAAAGAATTCTTTAAAAGACACCCTAAAAATAACTGAAACGTTTAAAAGGTACAGATGGTGAGACATGAGAGGCAAACCGATTTATTCCTGTGTGAGCTAAATGAAGTAAACAGAAAAATGAGCAGACCAATAAATAGAGAGATAGATAAACAAGGAATAGATAGTTTTATAGACTGGTTTTTAAAAAATGTTTTTACCCTTTCTCCTTAAAAAAGGACCTAAAGGGGGTTGCATCACAAGATGACAATACTGTATTTAAGACCTGAAAAACAGGAAGTATGCAAATATTAAATAGATAGATAGATAGATAGATAGATAGATAGATAGATAGATAGATAGATAGATAGATAGATAGATAGATAGATAGATAGATAGATAGATAGATAGATATGAGAATTATTTTTGCTTTTTATTCTCCATTTATTTATCTCCCATCTCTTTATCTGTCTATGTTTGATTCATTTCCATTAGTCTACACCGAAATGTCTGTTAGCCTTTAAAATGCCATAATATTATGCTTTTTATCTGTCTTTCTTTCCCTTTCTTCCCTCCCCACCCCCTTTAAATGTCGGTGACATGCTGAGAAAGACCGACTGTGGCTTGTCTCAGCAAAATTAAATGAACAAAAAGGCAAGATGAAAAGGGACAGAGAGAAAATAGCTCTTCTTCTCCCACAACTGACTCTGAATTCTATCTTCCAAATAAAGGTTCAGGTCACCTGAAATGTGCAGTGCAGTGTAGTGGTTATAGTGTCAGACTGTGCCTCGGAGAGCCCCATGTATCAGCATCATCCTCTTGGAATGGCAGAGCCAGAAGGGACCCCTAAGGATCATCCAGTCTAGCCCCTGTCAGGGAGGCCCACTGTGGGATTCAAACTCCCAGCCTCAGGTGTGTAGACCCTCTTGACGGCTGACGTGGGTCTGGTCAACTCCACCCATGGGGTTCGTTACTCTTGACGGCTCCAAGGCAACGAAGCCATCCATCCTCCCTGGTGGGAAGAATCATCTTAGAATGGCAGAGCTGGAAGGGGCCCCTAAAGGTCATCCGGTCCAACCCGTGTCCAGGAGGCCCAGTGAGGGATCCGTGTCCAGGAGGCCCAGTGAGCTGCTCCTTTTCTCTCTACCTGGCCTACCTCGGAGGGTGGTTGCAACAAGAGACCCCTTTTGAGCATGTTTGAGGTCAAGCGAGATCCAGATTAAACTCACAGACGAGTCCCGGCTGACCTGTTCGTCCCAGGACGCCAAAGGAACTCTCGGGAAGGCCAGTTGGATTTAAATAAACTCCCCAAACAATTTAAAAAAAAAACCATTTATTGAGCCATTCCCCTTGCATTTGAATATTCAACTGGTTCAGACTCTTCTGTTGCTTGCAAAGTCATCATCTGGGGGGCCCCCCAGATGACATGACCTCCTGTCCCCCCCTTCTGAGGATGGTTTTGCAGCCCCGTGACCCGAAATCCCCTCTCTCTGTTTGCTTTTGGCCACTTCCCAAAATAGAGTCTTTTTTGGGAGGGGGGGGGAACAGGCTTTGTGTCCGACCAGGAAGTCCGGCTGGACGGCGGTATCGTTGATCAGCCATGCCCTTTGCCTGGAGACGGGCCGATCATATTTTGGGGAAGTTGGGCAAAATTTGTTTTGTAATCCGGTGTCGCAACCAGCGAGGTGTGCCCTCCTGAGGGCATTTACGAGAAAAGCTGGCTTTTCAGCCTGCGGGGGCCCTCCCCTGGAGCTGATCTTCCTGATACGGGGAAAGGTTTAAGACCCGATTCCCGCCGGCCCACAGAGCACCCAGAGGAAGAGAAGGTGTTACGGATTCGGTGCGGAGAAAGAAGCAGACCTTTGGGTGAGTGTTATTTTTGCCCTCTGGGCTCTCATCCGGCTCCAGTTTCCTTCAATATTCCCCTCTGGCATTGAAGCGCAGCAGGAAACAGAGCAACCCTAGGCAGCTCAGGGGTTAAAGACAAGGTGTTTGACAGGCAGCCTTCTAAATTCGCACTCGGATCTCAGATCCCACAGCCCGCCAGCCTGCTTCTCTCCTGAGCCGAAAATTGAGGGCGCCGGCGTGGCCTGGGGGGGGGCTACAGCTTTTAAGCTGAGCGCTGGGCAATCCAGATTGTGGCAGTCTTTGGGACGTGAAAGGTGCCTAAACAATCTTGAAACCGCAGAGCTTGGAGGGACCCTAAAGATCATCCAGTCCAGCCCCTGTCAATGAGGCCCAGTTGGGGGGGAATCGGACTCCCAAGCTCAGACTCTGCAGCCAGAGACCTAATCCTGCCATGACGCACATCCGCTTTGGGGCAAAGCATCCCCCTGCACCTTTCTGCCGGCTCCGGTCTGTGCTGCTTGCCCTAAAAATGATAAACCCAAGCCTCTAGTCCTCATGATTGTGAATTAAAGGGTGGACTTGAAAAGGAGGCTAAAAAAGCTGTGTTATGTTGATGGCATGGTCTCTACAGTGCTTATATCGATGGCTGCAGATCAACAAGGGTTTAAATGAGGGGTTTCCCCCCCCCTCCCTATCCTGAGAGACTTTTAAAAAGGGAGGGCTGTTAAATAGTTCAGGGCTTGAGGTCTCTATGGCTGCGGAGCCAGCGGCTGGGAGTTTGAATCCCTCACAGTGCCTCTTTGGATGATCCTTCAGGGTCCCTTCCAGCTCTGCAGTTCTAAGATTATTATAGTGTAATAAGTGAAAAGATCCCGACCCCCCTCCCTCCCCTCCAGCCGCCTAGCTTAACAGGACTCATGAGCCACACGCCTTTAAAAGCTTGCATGCAAAATAGGAAGGAAAGAAGGGAGGGAGGGAGGGAGGGAGGGAGAGAGAAGGTGAGAGTGGCATGGAGGAGGAAGGAAGGAAGGAAGGAAGGAAGGAAGGAGCTGATGATGGATGGAGAGAGGTTCTATCATCTGAAAACAGTTTGGAGAAATCACAGTTCAGCATCAAACCCGGAGCAGACTCCCTGTCCTCATGAAATGGTCCTCAGTCACCTGCCTCCGTCGGGCGCCTCTTCTCCAAAGACCCAGGCCATGACGGTCACTCTCTTTCTCTCTCTCTTCTCCCTGTGTTTCTGCAGACATCCCACCATGAAGCACCCAATGCCGACGATCCTTCTCACGGCCTTCGTGATCTCCCTCCACTGCGGCTGCCTCCGGGCCCTGCCTTGCCCTCCGATGCCAGATCTGAAAAACATCACGGAGTTCATCTGCTCCTCTCCGACCCTGAGCGAGTTCCCGTCCGGGTTCCCCAAACAAACCAGGCTCATTACCGTGGAGTTCACCAACGTCTCCATCATCGGGGTGGACTCCCTCCGGGCGCTTCCCGACCTCCAGGAACTCCATCTGTCCAACAACAAGCTGAAGACGCTCCCGAACAGCCTCTTCCGTTATCTGCCGAAGCTGCAGGCCGTGGACCTCTCCAACAACCTTCTCCGAGATCTACCGCCGGGCATCTTCCGCAACAACACCGCCTTGAAGCACGTGGCTCTGAAGGGCAACCGGCTGGCTGTCCTCCGCTCCGTGTGGTTCGAAACCCTCCGCCAGCTTCAGTTCCTGGACCTCTCCGAGAACCTCCTGGCAGAATTGCCCCCGTTCTGCTTCGACACCCTGGGGAACTTGACCAGTCTCGACCTCTCCTACAACCGCCTCCAGGAGCTCTCCCCGAGGATTTTTGCTGGCCTGGCCTCCCTGACCGGCTTGAACCTCGAAGGCAACCACATCCAGACCGTTCAGGAGAAGACCTTCCGGGCCGTTCCCAACCTCCAGTTCGTCTTCCTGCAGAACAACAGCTTGGCCAACCTCCCGGCCAAGATTTTTCAGTCCTTGGACTTCTTAGAGATGCTCGACCTCTCCCAGAACCGGCTCACCTCCCTCGACCCAGAATTCTCGGACCAAGTCACCGAAATGAGCCTCGATCTCTCGGAGAACCTGTGGGTCTGTGACTGTCGCATGAAGGCCCTCCTGGATTGGGTGAAGTCCCGTTCCATCAACCTCCTCTCCAGGAAGAGCACGATCTGCGCCTCCCCAAATAAACTGAAAGGCCGGGAGATTGCTTCTCTCAAACCGGACGACTTCGGTTCCTGCTAAATCATCAAGAGGCACATTGCGGTAATGTAGGACCCCTGTATCCGCAGGATCAGTATCCACTAATTTGCTTACACCCCCCAATCTAAAATTATTAAAAGAAAAATCCTAGAAATATAGATTCCTAAAGATGAATTTACCATAGTGAGCGCCAGAGACCGTGCTCTGTTTACGATTCACTATTATAGTTGTGTTTGCTATTATCCACATTTTTGAGCATCCGCGGGGGCATTTGGAATGGATCCCCCGCCGATACAGGGGTCTTACTGTCGTTCTCCACCTCAGCGTCTCAAGCCTGTTTGGCGTCCACAGAATGGACGTTTTTCAAGATGGTCCATCTTTTATTTTCATTCCTGCTTGGGTAAGCGGACGCTTAAAATCAATGTATCGACAGCTTACACTGTATTTTTCAAGTTTGTCAGACTTTGGCAGCTCTGTATCTGTTTCATGAAGTTGTATCCTATAGTATTAAGTCCTTTAAGTCTGCATTTCTCGAGACGGCTTCGTTTCATTATTAAGGTTGCGTGTATGGTTCGTTTTGCTTTTTTTAAAAAGAGAAAATATTGTTGCTTATAATCTTGCTTGCCTATTCAATAAAAAAAGGAGGGAAAAAAAGATAATTCTTTTGGAGATTTTGTCGGCCTCTGTGGCAAAAAGAAAAATGATCGCTCCACTGGAGAGATCAAACAGATCGCGCTGTATACAAAACCCTGCATAGCGGTTGTTAAGTGTGATGCTCCTCACAGCCTGGATGGCTGAGGGCCATTATAAAAAAAAATATATAATACTTTGAAGGCTTTGTGTGTGAGTTGTCTAAACACACGATAACATCACAGCCATGCCGAAGGCTAGGTTTCTTGATGGCTGTCCTAGATCTCAAAAACCTGTTTCTCCTTGTGTTTTCACCGAACATTTAAATGCGAACCAATTGGCCTTCTGCATGCAAAATGGAAGTTCGGACACCAACCCACAGCCCAGCCCATCCATAAAGATTTGAGGGTTGATGTCCGTCTTCATCCGGGTCTCCAGACCAGGATGATCTGGTTTGGTCATCCCCCGTCCCCCCCCCCCCGCTCAACATTTCCAGATAACCACTTTCAGTCCCCTTCAGGTCCTCGTTAAACAATTAATTAGGGGCGGTATGACTCAAAAGCGTGGGTGTGTCGTCCAGCTGGATGGCTGGGTAGATGGATGGCTGTTTTATGGTCCCTAGAGGCCAGGCTAAGCGTGATGGACCAGTTCCTGGTTTCCCCAGCTTGAAAAAGGACCATTTCTAGGTCAATATTGTTCATCCCAAAAGATCCATAAATCGTTATATTCCATCTCCGAGCACCCAGCTGGAGGCAGATGGGAGATGTAATCCAAGGACATTTCGAAAGTTGCAGGTTGGGTCTACACCCAACAGGCAGGAGCCCTGAGTGGATTCAAGCAGGAGCCATTTCCAGTCATATCTGGGGATATCATAATTTGAACCCAGAACATCCTGTAGGAAAAACCAGGGGCTTAGAAGTCTAACTACTAAGATAAAACCATGACTGTGCCTACAAATACACAATTAAAGCAGATTCAATACTATTTTAATTGTGCTTACCATTTCACAAAACAAGGGACGGAGAGTGTTTCAGGAGAATCAGATGCTTCCAGCATTTAAGGAAGTCCTTCCCTTCACGATGAGCTGTCTATAATGTATCCTTAGACCCTCCATGACTCTGTTCTGGATACAAACAGCCAAATGTTCTTTGCAGATGAAGCAAAATTAACTACCTACTAATTGCTATTGGAATAGGTAGGGGGTTGATGCTTGGCTTCATTTCTTTGCTTCTTTTCCTCGCTTCTCCTCCTACCGCCTTCCGGCTCTTAATTGGTAAGAAAACGCATCACGTCCCTCGTTTCTGACCAGCCCCAGAAATTTATGGCAGAGTTGCGCTCCCGTAGAAGTTTTAAATTAAACCCAATTGCTTAAGGATGCCGGGCCATTTCGTGTGATTTAATACAGCAATAAAACCAATGTGCAAAGCCCTCCTGCATAGTGTTTTTGTCCTGGCTTTAAAAAATAAACCAAAAAAATGTGCATGTTTTGGGTGGTTTGATTCCCCGACTCCCTCTTCCTTTCCTTAAATAAGATGCTGCTGTAAATGGGAAAAAATAAGATGAAGAATCGCACAGCACAGCAAGGAAGCCAAAGAGAGGGGAAAAAGACTGTGAGCAGGACAGGAAAGGCTGGAGACTTTTTTCAAAAAAATAATAATCACGTTTTCTGCTAAACTTTTTGCTCCTGAATATCCAAGGCCTGGCATCAGAGCTTGGCCCGGGGCAGGGGGGGGAGCACTGGTGACCCCTACGAAGGGCATTATCCCCAAACCAGCTAAGCCTCTGACACCAGAGGTTGGCACAGTTTGGCATCCACACCATCTGGGGAGCGCCTCCCAAAATGAATCTCCCCCTTCCCCCCCTATTTTAATTTCCTTGAGCACCATAAGGACCAGAAGCTTGGCTTTGAGAGCGGGCACTGTCACTCCGGGGCAGAAGCTAGCATTTATCCCCTCTGAGAGGTTTGGCCCCATAGATAGCTGGTCTAAAGTTCGGAGTGAAACCCTGGGTAGATTTCGAGACCCCAACCTCCACGGTGCTGGAATCTCCACCCAGCGTGGCAGATCAGAGATCCCGATGCGAGCAGAGAAATTCCCCTCTGGGAAAGGGTTCTGTGACACCCTTAAACGCCTCTTGGCAACCACCTGGTGTTCCCAGAGCCGCTTGGCGAGGATGCCACGCTCCTCGGAGACGCCGAAACAGCAGCTGTTTGCTATCACACACCCCCAACCTTCGGGCAGCTGGAACGAGCATCTGCCACATGCGTCGGGCGCCAGACGCCTCGCAGGGTTGGCGTGTCCCCACCATTCGTGGGCTGGAGAACCAGCCGGGATGCCATGCCCAATCACCGATCGTAGCCCAGCGGGCAGGAGATGAATATCCATCTGGAAATGGTCCTAAACGCCAACGGGGCCTGGTAAGATTTCCTAAGAGAAGACATGCTGTCATTTCCCATTACAATCATCATAATAAGGCCCAAATGTGTGTGTGTGTGGGACCAACAAAATCAGACTTAAAGCAAGAATGTATGGGTAAAGTCAAACCCCTAAAAGCATGGAAATTCAGACCACTTTTTTGTGAACCTGGACACCCCAATAGCACTTTCTGTACATATCATATCCAGCATTTCTCCCTTTATTATTGTTATCGTCTGAACCCCAGCTTTTGCAGGAAAAGCCGAATGGCGGTAAAATAAAATGCAATGCAACGAAAATATTTAAGCCCTTCGACTGCCACCCACGCAAACAGAAGGGTTTGAAATAAAATGAGCATAAATATGCCGAGCTGGTTCCTAACACGGCTATCAAACAAATAAAGTTAAACAAGCAGAGAGAAATGCATTAGAAAATTATCGACAAATAAAATAAATATTTAGAGTATCCGTATAAGTTAATCATCCGCTAGATAGCGGCCTGAATATTTCCATAAATATTTATACAATACAGCAATCTGTCTTTGCATAGCTGATGGGAAAGCACATTAAGGCACATTTTATTTATTTTATTATTTATTTTTTTTTGAATTGTTCTGGAAAAAATAAATGCATATGATGTCTCTCTTTCTGAATAAGTCCATTCTCCAGGGCTTCCTCGCTCGGTTCCCCCCACCCCACCCCGAAACCTTGATTCACCAGCTGCATATTTTCTTTATTTAAAATGTTTTTGCCCCACCTCCTGAAAAGCCCCCAATTATAATGCAGCAGGGTTTAACCCTCCCTGGCAAGAATAAATAAAAAATAAAAAGTGGGACTCAGCACCCGTTTATGGGCACACACAAAGGACTATAAGTACAGAATGAAACCCAGATTCCTTTATTTGCTGCCTGCATCCCGGGGGCGTTGCCATGGAGACGCAAGGCCGCGCACGGCGCATGGAAATGGGGGCTTGCAGAGAGAAGCAGGGCCTGGATGCTCCTCGGTGAGAAGTCTAAATAAAATTAGATCTTGCTGGGGTTTGTGGACTGAGAGATGAGGGTGCACGAGAGGTGGCCAAGAGGGGGAAAAGGGAATATAAACATTATTCTCGGTGAGGCCAAAGTCGTACCCAGTTCTGCATTGGTCAACTGGATGCACAACGAAAATTTATGGCCATGAAAGCCATATTATATTATATTGGTCACAGTACGTGCAAAGGACCCGGTTAATGTTCATATTCCTCATCGCGAGCAAATCCGGGATGCAAATGGCGAATTAGCGCCAACTCAAAACAATGCGAGCCGCGCCCTCGGATTAGGCCCATTCGCCAAGCCGTTATGCGGCCCTTTGCGGTGAGAGCCGTGCGCAGCTCTTTAAAAAGTGGCACCATGTCATTTATTTTCTTTCTTTCTTCCCCCAATCTGTATTTTTATTATGACTTAAACCCGGCCGACCAGTTCTCTGGGAACATGAGATTATAAATCAAAGGCAGAAGCCCTTTTCTTGAGAAGCCGGAAGTTCTTTCTCATGCGCGCTGGTTAAGATTTATTAACGAAAACATGTTGTGACTTTAATATCCAGTCGGGTCGGTTTTTAATTCTTTCTGTCCCGGTTCGTCCACCCTATTTTACAGGTGGATCAACTCCAGTCTGGAATTTGATTCGCAGACCGCAGGCATGTTTTTATTTAAATTAACCCTTAATTCCGAACAATGAGGACTAGCGTCTTTGTTGATGCTCAAGGGACAATAACTCAGTACTAGGGCACAAATGGGAGGCCCCAGGTTCAAATCTTTCCCCTAACAGGGTGGGAATTAGGAAATAATTGTTCTTTATCCCATTGGAGAGAGAGAGAAAAACTATTTAAAAAAATCTATTTTTTTAAATTCATCGAGTTGATTTTAAGGCTTTTATGATGGGGTTGGCTTTTCTTGGTTGTACGATTTTGTAGTTAAGTTTTACCCATTTTTATTCTGTTACATATAGCCTAACTGCTTTGGGCATTGATTTTTAGTGGAAAGGCCGTTTGTAATGTTTGCTGGGCATCATCAAGTCGCTTCTGACTTATGGTGGCCCTATGGACGTGACCTCCACAATGTCCACTTATTAACTGCCCTGGCTCAGTCCTTGCAAATTTAAAGTTGTGGCTTCATTTATGGCATCAGTCCATCTCACATTTGGTCTCTTCCTCTTTTCCTACTCAGTCCCACCACCTTCACAGGGGCATCTGATGGGGACACAGGAAAGGGCTTTCTCTCTTTTTGCTCCCAGCCTTTGAAACTCTCTCCCACTGGAGGCCAGCTTGGCACCTTCTTGGCTGTCCTTCCACAAGCAAGCCAAGGAAACTTTCCTCTTCTGGCAAGCTTTCCCTGTGTGATTGGCTGCCTGGGTGGGGCTTTTTTTAATGGATCGCGGTGCCTTATTTCTTTTACAGTAAATGTGTTTTTGCCGACCATTTCTCACAGTGGTGTTGGATCCTTTGAAAATATTTTTTCATGTTGTTGCTGTTTTGCTTTAAATATCCCGTTTTAATGATGTATTGTAAACCCCCTTCGGTCCCTTTTAAGGAGAAAGGCGGGGGCTGCCTGGGTGGGGCTTTTTTTAATGGATCGCGGTGCCTTATTTCTTTTACAGTAAATGTGTTTTTGCCGACCATTTCTCACAGTGGTGTTGGATCCTTTGAAAATATTTTTTCATGTTGTTGCTGTTTTGCTTTAAATATCCCGTTTTAATGATGTATTGTAAACCCCCTTCGGTCCCTTTTAAGGAGAAAGGCGGGGTGAAGAAAATAAATAAATAAATAAATAAATAAATAAATAAATAAATAAATAAATAAATAAATAAATAAATAGGTGGGGTAAGAAAAACATTATAAATAAATAAATAAACTTTCCCCCAAGCAAGCAAGTAAATAAATCTAGCCTCGGACGTTCTTGTAATTCAATCCACTTCCTTATTCCTGGCTTCCCTCCCCAGAAATCCGCATATCCACGACCACTCCCAAACACGTGTAGAGAAGAGAGAACCCATTCGCGCGTGTGCGCGGTTCCTTTTGTAACGCGACATTCTGGCCCCGCCCGGCTCCGCGTTCCGTGGCCGGCCATTGGCTGCGGCCCAGCCCTCCTCCCCTCGGATTGGCCGCGGCGCGCTGCAGAGGAGGGAAGTTCGGCGTTCTAACTCCGCCCCCACCCCCGGCGGCCGGCCCCTCCCCCGCCGGGGCTGCGGTTCCAATCCAAGCGATCAAAGCCCGAGGAAGGAGCCCGGAGGTGAGAGTAACGCGTTTTAATTAAACTTGCGTGGTTCGTTCTTTCCAAAACGCCCCCATCCCGTGCATGCGTTCCCGGAAAGGTGGTGGGGGGATTAGTTTTAAAAAGTTACTTTACTCGGAGGCAGCGAGAGGAGGGGGGTTGACGTTACTGGAGGTGGGGGCGGGGAAGGCGGAGGAGTTTGTCTCGAGTTTGGAAAAAGTAACTTGGGGAAGGAGAGGGCATCCGGGTTCGCTTCGGAGCGGGGCGCCCAGCTCCTGAGTTCGAAGGGTCCCTCTGAAAGAGGAGGGACTTTGGCGATCCCCCCCCCTTTTTTTGAATAGGGGTGGCCGGGTGTGTGTGCGAATCTCTGTATTTGGAGTGTGTTCGAATCCCGCCCGCCTGATTCATCCGGCGGGGGACGTGCGTGTGTCGGCGTGTGTTTGCCCGATTGCAAAACCTGGACGGGAGTTGCCAGGCTTGGAAACGCCCCTTTCTTTCTTTTTAGCCAGAGTGTTAAGACTCTGGAATCCTTATTATTTCATCTTTAAAAAAAAAAAAAAATTAAAAAAAATCCAACAACAGCAGCCACTTAAATCAGCTTTCAGGTCCTCAAATCCATTCCCGTGGCCATTGTGGAGCTAAAAAAACAACAACAACATTGATTCCAGGGCCTGAAACACAACACCGTTTCTTTTTATGTTGTGGCAACAAACTTACTCCGTAACAATAATGTATACTGTTTACAATCTCTCTCTCTCTCTTTTACAATTTATTTATTTACGCCTATGTGGAAGTTCCTAAATGTTTCCAAGCTTAGAGAAGAACAGCAGGAGAAGGGAAGAGCGGAGGAAGGTGAAGCACGGCACCCTTTTATTTGATGCAATAATCATTGTCTTAATACTTAGGGACCCTTAAAGAACATCTAGTCCAGCCCCTGTTAGGGAGGTCCAGTGGGGGATTTGAACTCCCAGCCTCCTGCTCTGCAGCCAGAAACCTCAACCCCAGATCTGGCCAGCCAGGCCTTTAATAATGGAACGACAGAACTGGAAGGGACCCAAGAGATCATCCAGTCCAGCCCCTGTCAAGGAGGCCCCAAGGGGGATTTGAACCCCCAACCTCTGCCTCGCTGTTACAGACCAGCCGTGCCTTTGATACCTGCAAACGTCATTTGATTCCTGTGAAATTTGGTTAATAATTAGTCCATTTCTGTATTCAAAATATTTTTCACCTCACTTTTCTCCTGCGTTTTCTATGGTCTTCGCCAACGGAGAGGAAGGTTAAGGTTTAAATCCAGGCAGAGTCTGGTTTAGCACCCAACCATTCAAGCACCTCTATGAGGCCTAGAAACTTAAAAGCCCAATGACACAGGCTTATAAAAGGATGGCAGAGGGTGCCCTTGTGAACTGTTTAAAAAAAAAAGAATTTGGAAAGTATATAGGGATTTCTGGGCCCAAAACTGTAGGGGGAAGCTCGCTTAAGTTAAAAACCTGGGAACCTGTTTTTTTTTTTCCTCCCCAACCTTGCGGGAAAACCTGACAGATCGATCTGCAGCCTTTCCGGAATCCCGGTTAACCTCTGAGCCGGTGGCAGAGAGCCATCTAGGCTAAAAGTAGCTCCCTAAATAGACTCGGGTGCTTTCCTTTGATGCTTACGTGGCTTGTTTTAGTTGTCCCCCCTTCTTTCTCAAAGTTTGACCCCAAACTTAAGACAGGGGACAGTGTGGTCTAGGGGTTAGCGCGACAACCCTCATCTTAAGAGAGGGAGATTTGTTTTAAAAGCAACGGGAAAAAACCACACTGATACCAAAGGCCAACATCAGGTCCATCTGACGGCAGCTGTCTCTCTCCCCCCCATATCATGTGTCGGAGAGTTCCATAAGCTGTGTGGTCATTGAAAACCTCTGATCTTCGTACAGGCTTCTGTTTCTTTCCTCTGTTAGTCAGCATCATGTCGTCGGACGAAAGCGGCGCCGGGTGCGAAACCACCCCTGAAGGCACAGAAGCCGAAGAGCAGGTAGGATTCTTTTAAGATTTGGAGGGGCGGGGGGGGGGATCCAGGGAAAATGGAATGCCGTTTGGTTTCCCTGCCTTAAAAACATAACAACGTTTTCCATCAAACAAACCCAAAATTCTTAAACCACAATTCCAGCAAAATCCGGTGCGTTTATATTCAGAATTGATCTGAATAATGTATTTCAAATATTTATTTCAAATATTTTCAATAGGGGTGCTGGATTCAAATCCCCTGCTCCCCTAATTGTACCACTTTCACCATCACAGCGCCCTTTTAAAGAATCTGGTGGGGTTTGTCCTTTGCCATGTGCAGGGAACAATGGGCTTTGTAGTTTGTCATTCTTAAGGAATGATGGGATTTGTAGTTGAACAAGGGGCTTAATATTTTCTGCTTGCTTTCTAGCTCCTTCTGCTTGTTTTGAATGTTTTCTTCCGGGGGGATAATGATTTGAATTCTACTTCAAGCATCCCTCTTTACTTGAATTCTTAAAATAATTCCACAAATCATTCTTTTCTTTTAAAAATGTTTATGGCAATGTCTTCATTGGTTGTGATTCAAAACACTTGTACTTGTAGCCACGGGTGACCCTGTCCTGTGGCCCTTTTCGTGGCAGAAAGCTGGGATGTAAAATCAAGTCAATAAATACACAAACTGGAGTGCCACTTTGTCAAAGTTCGGACTGAAACCTGGCACGGATTCAGCGCATCTCCCCTCAAAACTTTTGCGCAGTGAACCGACCCTCCCAAACAAAAACAACAACAATAATAATGTCCAAATTGGGAAACTTCCCCAATGGAGAAAGATGATGACTCATCATCCTATTTGGTTTTGACCGCTCCCCCTGCCATTAACTCCGCCCACTTTTGGGTGGTTCCCCTTTGATGAGCTTGTAAAGGAGATTTTGGTCTCTGGGGGTGCTGGTGGTGGTGAAAATCCTTCCGATTTTTTGGCATCCGGTCCTGTTGCATGTCTAATTCTGCATTTTATTTTATTTTTTCCCCACCCTCTTTCTTGACTAGAACATCGTGAGCCGGGTGGCCGGCCTCCCTCTGGTCAGCTCCACTTACGACATGGTCTTCACGGCGTACGCGTCCACCAAGGAGAACCATCCCCTCTTGAAATCCGTCTGCGACGTGGCCGAGAAAGGAGTCCGGACCGTCACGGCTGCTGCCGTCTCCGGGGCTCAGCCGCTCCTGAACAAGCTGGAGCCTCAGAGTGGGTCGACCCACATTTCCGGGGTCCCCTCGATCCCCCCCCAGCTAGGTTTCCTACCCCAAACAGAGGGGCAGGATTTTGGGAGCCCGCTCTTGTCCAGTGGGAGGTTCGGGCATGGGGGAATCCGAACTTTACGCCGTGCCGTCCTCGGTGCGCGGCCTCGAAATGAAACCAACAAATAGAAACTAATAAATAATGAATCTCCTTGTGAAGTCATTGGATGTGGGCCGCCTAATTTTGCACACACTTTTGGTAGGATTAAGAGAGTCTTTCCTCGTCTTTTGTCCCCATTGGTTTGTCCAGCTTTTATTACCCTAAATCTGTTTGCGGGTCCCGATTCAAGAAGACCTGTTGGACCTAAAAGTTTCAGCCGGGAGTAGCTGCAGCCTTTTAGAAATTGATTTATTTTCCCGGTATTTGGAGCGTGGGTTTTGTGGACCTGTGTGGTTTTACACTGGGTGTTATTTTATGGCCAGGAAGCTGTCCTCAGTCCCCCTGAGAAAGGGTTGGCTGTCCTTTAAAAAAAAAGGGTCCTCAACAGCCATGAGGACTAGTTTTTATGGCCAGGAAGCTGTCCTCAGTCCCCCTGAGAAAGGGTTGGGTGTCCTTTAAAAAAAAAAAAAACGGTCCTCAACAGCCATGAGGACTAGCATCTCAAGGGTATTTTTGCTGTTTCTGAAGGCACTGAAGTCCACTGACATCTCAGACAAACTGGTGCAGAGGTGGTTTAGATTGATCGTCCTGGGTTGTAATGAATTGTTCCTTCTCCCTGTTTTTTAGTCTGAACCTGATTTCTGTCTGTCTCTCCAGTTGCAATGGCCAACGAATACGCCTGCCGGGGCCTGGATAAGCTTGAGGAAAATCTGCCCGTCTTGCAGCAGCCGTCTGAGAAGGTTAGTACTGCTTCCACAGCGCCAAGGCTTGGCGGCGGGGGCACATCTTACAAATCTGGATTCTCAGCCTTAAGGACTAGAAACATGCATTATTCACAAGGTCTCAAAGTGTGCTAAACAAAGCCTTGCTTCCCAGAACTTGGCAAGGTGGATTCAACGATGTAAGTCTCTTATAGCAGGTGGAAAAAATAAAAGGTGAGAGAAAGAAGGGAGAAATACTGGGGTAGACAAGATGCAGATTCTGTATCTAGAAACAGGGCTCTCTTAAAAGGAATTTGTGAGTTGTCATCTCTCTCTCCTTAAAAAAATCTGAATAAAGTGTACCCGTCACGAGGCGTGATGTAGTAGATGGAGTGTCGGACTAAGACTCGGGACCTGAATTCGGATCCTCACTCAGTCATGGAAACTCACTGGGAGGTGGTGATGGGAAGACAGCCTTTGAACATTTTGCATGGCTTGGAAATCTTTAGGGTTGCCATAAATTGGAAATAATTTGTTCGTGAAATGTCTTGTAGAAGACAATCTGTTAGGAGTTTTGGGAGGGAACCTAATTGTCTCGGGTGAAAAGTAACGTGCGTTTGTGACTCAGTTCCCCCTTTGTGATTTTCTAGGTGGTGGCTGATACCAAGGAGTTAGTCTCTGCCGGAGTCACGGGGGCCCGGGACGTGGTCTCCCTTACCGTCAACGGGGCCAAAGGGGCTGTCACCAGTGGCGTGAGCGGAGTCGTAGGTTTAGCCAAGGGAGCCGTGCAAGGCGGTGTGAACACCGTCCTGGGGTCCCGGGTGGGCCAGCTGGTGGCCACCGGCATGGAGGCCATGTTGGGGAAGTCCGAAGAACTGGTGGACCATTACCTTCCCATGACGGATCAGGAGCTCGGTGGGTAGACCTTGCTTCTATCTCCTTCCCCTTGCGCCTGCTGAGTGTTCTGGACTACAGAACCCATCACATCCAGCTAAGCTTGATGGTGGATGATGGGCCCTGTGGCCCAGCGCCACCCAAAGGGGCCAGTTTGTGAGGAGGCCACGGCCATTCAGAATTGCCGGCGTGGGTGAAATAAATAATAAATTCAGGCTATTCTAAGGCCTGTTGGAAATGTGATGAAGAAATTGGCACATACTGTCATATGTGGTGGGAGTGTAAAATTGATTCAGAAATTTTGGGGAATTGGTTTTTAAAAGAAATATGTGATATATTTGGAAAAAGATATCGAACTTAATTCTAAAATCGCTTTGCTGTCGGTTTTTGATGAGATAGACCTTGATTATTGCTCAAAGGAATTGATTTCTAATCTTTTGACAAGTGCTAGAATATTAATAGCTAGATTCTGGAAAGACAAAAATGATATTAGAGGATTGGTATAATGAAATATAATGAAGTTGGTATAATGAAGTTGACTACTGAACTTAAGATGAAAAGAGGGGAAATAAGTGTAAATATTTTTATGGTATTTGGGGTAGATTTATTGAATTTGTCTTAGTGAAAGGAAAGGGGAAAACCTCTAAGCAACAATCAATACAATTTTGGAAAGGAGGTTCGTAATAAAAGTATTGCTCCAAAGGGCCCCGTTTTAAATTGTATTAGTAAGTATTTTCTATTTCTGTATTTGTTTTGGAAATTTTTAAAAAATGAAATTAATAATAATTTTAAAAAGAATTGACAGCATAATTTTGCAGGCTATGCTCTCAAACCCGTTTCTTGGGCGACTTACCTGCGGGCGGGTGTTTTAGCACAAAAACATAGCAGAGGCCGGCGCCTGTTTTCCACCTGCTGAGCTGGAACGGATGCGTCTCCCCGCGTCCACCCCGGCAGTCTTGGGGAGCAAGGAGTGATGGGCTTTCTAGGGGAGAAATAAAGGTTGCCTGCCCGGGAATATTTTGGAATAATCGGGTTTTCCCCACCCCCAGCTTTGAAGTGGGGGGAAAAACAGAGAAAATAAGCCCTCGCAAGGGGAAAAAAGTGGCTTCTCGATCCGTATTCTGTTTTTCTCCTTTAGCCCAACTGGCCACCTCGGTGGAGGGCTTTGAGGGGGCCACCGTGGCGCAGCAGAAGGAGCAACGCAGCTATTTTGTCCGGCTGGGCTCCCTCTCGGCCAAGCTCCGCCACCGGGCCTTCCAGCATTCCCTCGCCAAGCTGAAAGACGCCAAGCGTGGCACCGAAGAGACCCTCGCCAAGCTTCATCAGACTCTTGAGCTGGTAAGGGTGAAAGAAAAGCACTCCGTCTGAAGAGACCCTCGCCAAGCTTCATCAGACCCTTGAGCTGGTAAGGGTGAAAGAAAAGCATTCCGTCTTCAACTTCCTCCTCCCTCCCTCTCTTCCTTCCTTCCTTGCTTGCTTCCTTCCTTGCTTCCTTGCTTGAGCTGGAAGGGACCTGAGAGATCATCCAGTCCAACCCCGGTCGAGGAAGCCCAGTTTGGAGGGTGGGGTATTCAAACTCCCAACCTCTGGCTCTTGCATCCAGAGACCTCCACCCTTGAAACATCGTCCGTCTTCAACTTCCTCCTCCCTCCCTCTCTTCCTTCCTTCCTTGCTTGCTTCCTTCCTTGCTTCCTTGCTTGAGCTGGAAGGGACCTGAGAGATCATCCAGTCCAACCCCGGTCGAGGAAGCCCAGTTTGGAGGGTGGGGTATTCAAACTCCCAACCTCTGGCTCTTGCAGCCAGAGACCTCCACCCCTGAAACATCAATACACCTGTTTAGTCCACCGAAGGAAAAACAAAGGTTTGGTTTGAAGGGAGACATGTGTCGTCTTAGAAAGAAACGAAAATGAGCTGCTAGTGTGGGAGATCGGTTCTGAGCCCCCGCAGATGCCAAAAACAGCGGATAATCAGAAACCTGGTTCACATCATGGTCTCTTGCTCCTTTTTAGTGGCCAGTTCTGGTCGTTACATCATGGAGATACAGATTTCTGGTTTTTTCTTTTCTTTGAATGCTTTTAAAAATTTTGAGGTCACAGATAAGTGAAACAGAGGATACGGGAGGTCCTCCTCGATATTAAACTATTGACCCCGGCTTCCTGGATAGTGGGTGATCAGCTTCCATGATGACGGCGGGAGAGCATCGGACCTGGAGAAGTGTTTTGCTTAGCTCTCCCTCCGCTGCGATCTCCTGTTTCTTAAAAAATGGCCCCGGGGAACGAAGGAGAGATTTTGATTTTTAAGCCCTCCACCCCTTTTTGTCCTCGTTCTCAGATGGAACATGTGAAAGGAGGGATGGGCGAGAAACTCCAGGTCAGTCAGGAGAAGCTCCACCAGATGTATCTGGAGTGGAACCGGACTCAAACTGGGAGCGAGGAAGAAGTGAAGTCACTGGTGCAGCCAGAGGTAGCTTCATATTTTTTTCTCTTCCTACCCTGGTGCTGTGGAGTTCCCCTCCGTTTAATTTTTATTATTATTATTATTATTTTGGTGGGTTCTGGTGTCTCCGAACCTCAACCAGGGGTTTCTCCCTTTCACTGAAGAGCGCCGAGCTTCCGTCCGCTGGTGAAATCCTCTGGCACCGTGCTGTGCCGCGGTTGATGGCTTCTTGGTGTTTCTAGATTCTTTCTAAAGTTCGAGTTTCTAGTCCCTATTGAGGGTGGGGAAGGGCAGGCTGTAGGAGAAGAATGTGGTCTCGATTGTGACCCCCTTTGCTTCTTCCCATCTCTCGTAGGTCGAGTCCCGCACTCTTGCCATGCTCCGCAGCCTCACCCATCAGCTCCATCTCTCCTCCGCCACCCTCCTGTCCCGGGTTCAAGGCCTCCCCGCCGGCGTCCAAGAGAAGGCCCAGTCCGTCCGCCACACCGTGGAGGACCTCCGGACCTCCTTCGCCGCGGCCCACTCCTTCCACGACGTGCCGGCCGCACTCTTGGCCCAGAGCCGGGAGCGGCTGACCCAGGCCCGCGGCTCGGGGGCGG